TCAGTTCAAGCATAAATATGACGGGTTTCAATGGTCTCACAGAATAAGCAAGTTATCTTTTCCATATACTTTATTATTCTTCCAAGTTTTTACGTGAGGTCAGTGTTACTTCGTTGTGAGTCATGGTATTTTTTCGTTAGGCACACACCTCAGCTATTCTTATCCACAAAGTAGTCGATGCAGGCTTCTACAAACATTTTACGAAGCTTCTTATCGGATGTAATGCAATTGGCTCAGCGTAAAGTGGAGCTAGCTCTAGTACTTCAATCAAGAGACTTGGTTCGTTCGTTGGATGGATGATGTTTATGTTGTTTGAATGAGAGGGCCTTGTGTTTGTTTACTTCTAACTGTTTAGAAGCTGTAAGCTTGAAACATATATTTCTCTCAAGGCGTATTCTATCAAGAAAAATGCAATCTAGTACCAACAAAAAAGAATAAAGAAAAATGCAATCTTCATCGCATATTTGAAATTGAGTTTTTTACCCACTTGTGATCTAGGATACAACTTTGCTTTAATAAATGGAGGAATTCTTAGCTAGGCCCAATTTACAATAAAAACTTAAAAGTTAATTTTAAAAATATGTACACTTTTTAATGTTACACGTACAAGTATACGACCTTATATAAGTTAACTATTTTTTTTTTCCCGGTAAACAGTTAACAATTTATTTAAAGGGAATGGATTCGTTTATAATTTTTTTTTGAATTTTTTTACAAATTACACTATGTTCTTCCGGGAGAACATAGTGTAATGAGTGTTCTCCCGGGAGAAGATAATATAGTTTAAAAATAAATTTTTTTGTAAATATAACCTGCCCCTGGTTTAAATAATGTGTTCAGACCGTACTAACTTTAGAAATGTTTTCAATTGTTGATACTTTATATTTTGGAACAGTGACCATTTTGCCACGCTTTGGCAAAAAAATTATCAGAATACCACGCGAACAGTAAAATTTTCCAAACTGCCACGCGGCATAATTCGCTACACAGTGTAGCGAATTATGCATGCAAGTAATTTGCTACACAGTGTAGCGAAATATGCCACGTCAGAACCAAAAAGTGCCGTGTGTCAAAATTGTTGAAATTCGCTAAAATTGTTAAAATTCGCTATTGTATGTAGCGAATTCCAACAATTCTGACACATGACACTTTTTGGTTATGTGCATTCTGACGTGGCATATTTCACTACACTGTGTAGCGAATTATGCCGCGTGGCAATTTGAGAAATTTTAATATTCGCGTGGCATTCTGGTAATTTTTTTGACAAAAGCGTGACATTTTGGTCAATGTCCCTTATATTTTAAAGAAAAAAATCTTGTTAACAATTTTCACGTGCCCACTAGCTAACGATAGGTAAAAAAGGATCAGAAGACAGAAATCTAGTTAGAGTAATTTACTACAAAACATAACAGAAATTTCTTCAATATTTTCTTTATTAGAATAATTGTTTATGAATCTTAAGAATGTTTACAACTAAAAGACAAAACAGATATACAAAAGCACAGATGAATTATTTACCCAAAAAAAAGAAGAAGCAAAGATGAATTCCAATTGTAAACATGCAATAAAGAGAAGATTTGACTACAAAACCTATCCATGTTTTGCCTTATAAAACCAGAAAAATCAGTCACCATCCCTGAATTGGCCACCGCCTGTCTGGATCCGGAAGCCAAGAAGACCACCGTTTCTTGTCCTTCTTCACCGCCGTTTCCACCACCGTGGGCCCCTCTTGGGGGGAGGAGTTTCTAGTGAAGGTGAAGACCTTGCCGAGAAGCCACATACCCCTTTTATGCTTCTTGTTCTGATCACTGAAATCGTATTCTCCATTTAGCCTCATGGATTTGGAGAGTCTCTCATAACCTGCGATTCTAGCACATTCCGAAGTCACAGATTCCGATGAAAGCAATATGTGCTGTGACCTCGACAACCTGGAGCTTCTGCTAAATTCCATCTTTGTTCTAAATCTGAGTGAGAAAACAACAAAGTAAATGGAATTGTGCTGTTTGGTGTTGGAACAATTTTGATTGTGAAGTGTTTATGATAATATTTATAGATTCCTTTTTAGATAACTTAAAGTCAATATTTAATTTATATATTCCTTTGCCAAGAACAAGGAACCTAGGGCTAGGGTCAAGTTTAGATGGACATTATTGAATAGCTAGCTGGGGTCTTAAAGTGCCTTTCGCTGAAATTCTCAATCATGCGTCGTGGGATTGATTGAGTGTGACTTCAGAATAGTAAAATCATAAACTATTCGGATGTAGTGTTCAATGATCCAACCTTGTGAAGCCGTCAGCGAAAACAAAGGCAAGTCAAAGAAGATTGATTGGGCCGGATCATGGAGCCCGTGTGAGCCTCGAGCTCCACTTTGTTCTTAAGAATTCTGAAATTTTTAGGTTGGCCAATAATGGGTAAATAATTTTTTTTTTTGAGACATGATAATTTTAGGGAAATAAAAATTTTATGTCGCAGAAACTTTATATGTCATGTAACAAAGACAATTATTGTGGGGCCATTGGTTTGTAAAAATCAAAAAACAAAAAAAGGAGCAGCTCTATTTTCCATGGTCAGTAAAACAAAACATTTCTTTCATGCAACATGAAAGATATAAAGCCCATCATTTTAAGTCCCAATTGCTATTAAGCCATTAATTGGGAGAAACCATACATATATATATGATGGGGAAGGGATACATTGATCCTTTGTTGTAGGGATCGAACACCATCCTCGTGTACTATTTCGTTATATTAATGCCCATTCAATTCAATTTTTGAATAAAAGGGTTGGGTCGTTGCACAACCTAAGTCTCAGTATCAGATTGTGTGATAGATAGCCATTTATTTAACTCTCCGTCGGTTAAAAAAAAATGTCAACTCTTGTTTAAAAATAATAATAATAAATTAATAATAATAAAGTGATAGTTGTTGTGCATATGGGTGCAAATCAAGTTAGGTTTTTGTTTAATTAAACCAGGCATAAATAAAATATTTTAAGTCTGATCTAAACTATTCACCTCATACAAGTTAAATTGTAAGTATAACATAGGCTAATTGATCCATTTATATCCTAATTATGACCTTGAGTTTAAGCTAAAATAATATCGGATTCATAGCTCATTTGGTACGGATTTTCCTCTTGACAAAAACAAGAATCGCGCTTTACAATGTTTATAATTCATGAGTTTTATTAATATCATGTTAAAGGAGATAAGTTATCTCATGTCATAGAGATAAATTTGTGGGCTCCACCATCTGAAAAAAAGAAAAAAGAAAAAGGTGGCACAGTTATCGAAGGGTGTATAGAAAGAAAAACTTATTTCATGTAGCATGAGAATAGTTTTTCCGATAATTCACAGCAGGAAACTAATAATTCATTCCAACAAATGTCTAATTGTGGCGAGAAACTGCCGACACAAATAAACTGTTGATTGAGAGTGATCCTCTCATGTAGTCGTTTTGATACTGTTTGGGTCATAGGTTGATTGAGAAATGTCCGTAGAAGGATAGATCAGAGAAAAATGAGTCCAACAGTGATCCTCTCGGTTCAAAAGGTTCTCGAAATTTTTTTCCGGTGACGAAGAGAGGCAACAGAAAAGGCTTCCGTTCTAACGACAGCAGTTTCCAATAAAAAATCATATAATAGAAGGTATTTTTAGTGAAGCGAAATTTCCATGTTCATAAACAGGGTCCGGGCAGTAGGGGTGGCAATACGGGTCAACCCGACACGACACGACACGACACATTTTTGACCCGTACACTATTTGACACGACCCGTTGCGGGACACGGGTCGACACGACACGACCCGCAAAATTTAAAATTTAAAAAAAAGTAGGATTTTTTGAAAAAGTAAATAAATTAAAAACAATAAAAAATAAAAATAAAAAGAAAAAAAGATTAGCTTCTGTTTTTTGAGATTTTTAGTTCCTTCTATTCTTTTCTATACTAAACAATGACTATATATATCAATATATAAATGAATAAAAATAATAATATAATAAAATATTTAATTAAAAAATAAAAAAATGACACTGTGCGGGTTGACACGCGAACCCACGGGTTGACACGTGATCCGACACGAAAAAAAACGGATCACATTTACACAACCCTGACACGATCCGCCCTGACCCGCGGGTTGACACGACACGTGATTTGACGGGTCGAGTCACGGGTCAACCCGCGGGTCAATACCTGTATTGCCACCCCTACCGGGCAGGTGATACCTCCAAAGTCGCATAGTAATTGCAAGCATATACTCACAATAGTGTCAAATTATTGTAAGCTTTTATAATCTGTCGTTTTTAAATAATAAATAAGGAAAATACATTTGTCATATTATATGACGAATGAATAATTTCTATTTTAATAAAAAGATAAATTATATAATATTAAAAAAAATGAAATAGACATATTATTCAATAAATTGATCTTGTCTTTTTCTTAACATAACAACTATTTATTTGTCATGTAATATGATAAATGTATTTCCCAATAAATAATATATGAAAAATCAAAAAACCAATTTACATACTTTTTATTAAGAGAAACTAATGTTTCATTGAATTAAATTATGTTAGCAAAGGGCGTGTGAATACCTCTGGGAGGGAAAAAAGAGAGGCGCTCTCTCTCATAGTTAATCAGTCTTTGAGACAAACAGCAGCGTAGAGAAGCGCTGGAATTAAATATCACCAGACAGCAACTGGTCCTATAGCTCCAACACTGTCTCATTATATGCTTTGGAATTTCACTGTAGCACCTATAGGCCATGCCTGAGTAGAAATTAGTACTACAGCTGAGGAGCATGTGAAATACCTCAGTGAGAGAAGAAAAAAGGTTCTCTCACGCTTAACCAGTTAATGAGACAAACAGCAATGGCGAGAAGTGCTGAAATCAAATAGCATAGACAGCAATTGGTCCGTTATCTACAAAATGCAATTCAATGAAAAAACAAAAATAAAATTAAAGAAACAAATCGACATGTAACTGCAATTATAATTGTCATTTGTCACACATAAAAGGAATGAGCTTACTTTCCATCCAAACAAATTAAATGGCATGGCATGAAGCATGAACTATTGAGTATGAGGGCCGGGTCAAACCATTAAGATACTGATGCATTATCTATAGTTAAAGGTACAAAAATATGACATAATGATGTCTAGCTTAATTTACATACATTCCACACGCTAAACACGATGTGGGGTTGGGAAGGGGAGGGGAGAAACTACATCCTATGAAAATCAAATAGCTAAAGCTTCTGGACAGGTAAATCCCATTCGAGTGATTTCCGAAGACATAATGACTTTTTTGGTTTACATTGCATTCATCAGCTGCGAATGCCCTTTGCAGTAGTTATTATGCAGGCATATGTTCACAGTTCATTGGAGTAGATGCACTCATCCACAAGCTGGCGGAGGTTGGGATTCTCCATGGCAGCAGCAACTCTTTCTTTATCATTTAACTGCTTGTTGACTGCATGAAGAAAATTTATAGTATTATTAGAAGTTCATGTTGCAGGAAGAAAGGAATTCAAAGGAAACTGTAGTTTCTCAGAGTGGTGCGGGAAAAAAGTTAAGATGTGTCACGATGTGGCTGAGCATAGTTGTTTTTGGATCATAATCATATAAAATATTTACTATCGTTTGCGATGGAGTCTCTCCTGATGTTAAGTGCTGACAAAAGGGAAAAATAATGGGAGAAAAGAGAGGGAAAGGGCTTAGTCTTAAATGTTACTGTATTAACAACTACTTAAAATTTACCCGATTCTTCATCAGCATGAGATCCCGGAGACACTTTGATGTCCACCTGCAAAGAGGACTTTGAATAATAGATAACAACCAGACAGAAGACAATTATAACATGATCTAAGCAGAGTAGAAGTGAATTTTCAACATTGAGAATTGTAATTCACAAAAAAAAGCAAGCCCGGAGGTGAGAGACGATTCGAGTGAAAGGGTTGAGAAACTAACGCACACCACCAACCAATTTCAACTGAATGAAAATACACACAGAAATGACACAAGAAAAATATCAAATAATGGGTACAGTGGTGCAATGAGAAAGTAATGACAGAGGCTCCTTGGCATTACAATATGCATTTACTGATGACCTTAGCAGAGACATTATGAACTTTCACACATGGCGTTCACGTTGATATATCCAACCCCAGTTAAGAAGCTAGAATCTAATCCAATCTGATTATCTTCATTACAATGTACAGTTGTACATGGCACAAGTATCCCATTCCCAAGAGTCGTAACGGTAGCCGGGTTTGACCAATATGGAAAAAAAGTTTAATTTCAGTATATTACTAGACATATACTTCTATTCACAATTCAGTATACGTTATTCTCCAATTACAAAATTGATGTAATTCCTAGACGAACTTAATCTCCACAAGTATTAGGTATTTTCAGAGGGTCCAGCACAGAAAACCAATTGCTATACAAGAAAGTGCTGTAACAAAGCAATGTATGAATTCAATCCGCAAATTACGTCATTAAAAAAAGAAAAAGAAAAAGAAAAGCATAGTAACACCAATTAATTAATTGGCGACGGTAAAAAAAAAAAAAATAGTACTACATTTTTCAACAACCGCCACGTTAGCTATATGGCACATCAACATGTTTTAAGTATAATGATCTCTTCTATGAATGTCTTTTGAGATCTCTTTCTCAACATGAATCCTTCCGAGTGTTTTCACTTCAGATTCATTAATTTAAATTAACATTAAACACTCACTCACAGTTATTTAGAAAATCTTCCAATTCTCTCACCATTTCAAATATATACTCTGCATTCACTTCATCATCTCATATCTCTCCCTATTCGCTCAATTTTTTTTCCCCCCTTGATTTATTTACACCTTTAAGCATTTTCAATTTCTAGCAAGCTTTGAAGAACAAAATCAAATGAATAAAAATTGTCGTTTAAATATAAGGCTATGCAATCAATAACTAGCATACGCTAATACTTCAGCAAAACAAAAGCATGTAGAAAGAGGCATGTGGCAGACAAAAGCATTCAGATGGAACAAACTTTGTAATGAGGAGGGAAGCAGTGCTTTAGTTTAACCCTCAGACAAAGACCAATAACCGTGGCCATGCTGCAGTGCTGCACGGTCGGCGTAAAAGTTATCCTAAACAAAAATAAAAAATAAAATTCAGAATTGAGTAAATGATTTTAACTAGTCCTAAAATGAGAGGAGAAAAAAAAGGAGAGAGATTAAGAGCTAAAAGAACTCACAGAATCCGGCCTAATTTGTCGTCGACAGTGATTGATTCCTCGGAGAGAACACTGAGCTGTTCCAAGGAATAAGGATGTTCGGGATCCCTAATATCCCTCACGAAATTTGCAAAATCAAAGTCAAGGATCCCTCAATTCAATCCATCACAATAATAGTGCACTTCGTTTGGTCGTTACAAAAACTGTGAGAAAGAAATTGAAAAGGAAGAGAAAAAGAGAAGGATATCATAAATATCGAGGGGATCAACGGCATCGTCGGCGTGGGGATCTTCGGATCGAGCGATCCTCTCTTTCTTGGCGTGAACCACAGGGTTCGCGTTGATTAGACCCAGCGTCATCGCTTTCCACTCTCACTCTTCCACACGCAAATTCGCTAGTCACGGCCTTTCTTTTCTGTTTCCACTCCACTCCGCTGATGAATAATGTGATCTACTTCAGTCCCCATCTTTTCACTTCGTGTATTTATATATGTTTCTTTAGACGACTTAATTTCGGGTGTTCCAATCAAAGTTATTAAAATTTTAATTATTTCCAACTTTTTTTTTTAATTTATCAGGACCAATTATAACGTGTTCTTTATTGAAAAAATAAATAAATTTACGTTTACATATACAGTCCTTAATTATTGCTGTTTTGTTAGAAAAAGTTAATATATTTTTAAAAAAGAGTTTAAATTTTGTTTATTATTAATAAAAATTTAAATATATTGATTATCCAATATATTAACCTAACCACGACAGATTATATCTAAGGATTTAACCTATCTAAAGGATAATGAGTTTGTTTTTTTAGAGTTACAATTCCTGTGAAGGATAAAGAAATTCAAACCAAAAGCAGACTAATTAAATTAACTTCGGACAGGCTATAAAAAAAAAAATTTAACTTCGGACATTGTTTGATATAAAAAATATTAGATTTGATTTTATTGTATTAAGAGCTATTAAACAATAACATGACAAAAAATAGTGTGTTTTTTTTTTTCGGTAAACAAAAATAGTGTGTTTTATTAAAATTCTAACCGACTCAGACCAAAAAAAATAAAATATAATGCACCATTCACAATTTTCGACGGCGCTTATTGGAAGGAAACTATTTTCATTTAAATTTTTTAGAACGAGGATATCGTCTCTTCCGAATCTAAATTGTATGTGATTTATCATGCTACATCTAGCTACAGTAACATGACAAAAAAAAAACTAGCACTGGATTTGGTTAAGATTTTGAGATTCTAATCCACGTAAATGGGAAAAATGCAATATCTTTAGTAGAAGGCGAAACAATAGTTTGCTCTGTGCTCATCGCATGACTCCGTGAAAAAAAAATAAAAAAATACATGATATATGATACATTTATAGTTATTAAAATCGGACTGACATGGCTGGGTCGATCCATGAACCGGTAAACCGGTAATATAACCGGTTCGGTTAAAACAACGGACCGGCCATGCATCAGAACCGGTACGACCCGGTCTGACCCGGTCGATTAACCGGTAATCCGGCCCGGTCCAAAAAAAATCATAATAGCCATATTTGAAAAAAAAAATCATATTGACTTACATAAATTATGTACCTACAACACTAATATTATCTTAATTATGTAGTATGCATAAAATTTTGAATTAATTTATAATTAGAAATATCGTTTTATGAACCTAAAGCCTCATATCACGATCGTTATATTTTTGTTTGATTTTTTATTCGATAATAATATGTGATTTTTTTTTTTGTATTAAAATATTTGAAATTTTTATCATTTTGTTTAGATATTTGAGTATGTTTATAATTTTTTAATATAAATTATAAAATTTCATATAATTATCGGGTCATGCAGATGAATCAGTGACTCAGTACATCGACCGGGTCAATGACCGGGCCGGTTTTAATAATATTAATACATCAGTCACTGTCCTTAATGATGTTTTATGAAAGAAATAATCTTTTTTCCTTCAAAAATACAAAAAGAAATTGGCTCTTTCTTTTAGAATGTGCATCACAATCATTTTATTCCCTTGCACTGTTTTTTAAAAGATGTTGATGTGATTTGCATTGATAACTACGTAAACCAAACAAGCTATAAATTAGAGCCATTTCCAAACAGATGTTGATGTGATTTGCCTACTTCGGGTTCAGTGGACGCAATTGGCTTGAAATCTTCATTAATGCCTAATTTTGACTTAGGACATGGTTATCGGAAATAATTATTTTTATAGCGAAATATTCTTCTAAGAGTGTCATGGTCCCGTAGCTCAGTTGGTTAGAGCGTTGGTCTTATGAGCCGAAGGTCGCGGGTTCGAGCCCCGCCGGGACCATTTATACATTGATTTTGTTTATTAATTTTAAAAAAATGTATCCATTTTGCAAATAGGATGTAGGAAAATATTCAGTAGTTAACAATTAATATCTTCTAAATATTAAAGGAAAAACTACAAAGCCAAATTGACAACTAATGCCAGCTACCAAGTGTTAATGTTATATTATTTTTAAAAATTTAACCAATATCAAATCTATAACAGGCACCAGTTAAGAGCCAAATGATTTCGCCATTGAATATAATTGCTTAATACTTGCAAGAACACTAAAAGTTCGGAGTATAAAGAACAATTTTACGAAGAGATTAATGTATCCTTTGTCTCTTAACTATATATAAAATAAAATATTACCATCAATAACATAATAAACAATTACAACGACAGGGGAACATTTTATTTGACACATACATTAAAATTAGAGATCAAACAATTACTTGAAGTGAGTAACTAAGATGAACTACCAATAATTATTTAGTGTCAAAAGATAATGATTTAGTGTATTTCATTGAAAAATAATGCTGACCTTTTTAAGGGTTGATGAAATCACACTACCATTCCTCATATTTTTAAAAATTATGTGCCTTTTTCATTTATAAAAAAAAAAGGTTTTATACGAGTTATATTGTAGGAAAAATGATTGTGTTATGTTATAGAGATTCGTTTTGCGTGCCGGAGTTTTTTTTTCTTGGTTTCAAAAATTGTGGGTCCCACAAAATGTTGTGTGTGTAGAAAAGTTGTTGTGATCATGTTAAATGCTAGATGCAAAACCCAAAAAAAAAAAAATTATAACAACCAATTCGGGTTATTATCAATCAATTTTACCGTTAAATCAATTATGTTGATCTAATGGTTATAATTATTTTCATCTTTGTATGATTATGATTCTCCATATTTAATGTGAAAGCATTAAATATGAGAAATAATAACCATACAAAGGTGAAAATAAATATAAAGTACTAAATATGTGGAATCATAATCATATAAATATTGGCGGAGCCACATGTAATGTGGGTGTGGCCTCGGCTCGAGCTAAATTTTAACAAATTGTACTTATTATATATAAGGGATATGTTATTCTGCCTACTCTTATTTTGCCTACTTTTGCCTACCTCTCTTAACATCATTAGATTACAATCTCATAAGGTGGAGATTTGCGGAATAAAATAAACTTTTTTTTCCTTTCTTTCTCCTTAATACCTTCCACACTTTTTCTCTCTCCTCCCTTTTCTCTCTCTCTAATGGCACTATTCATAAAAAAAATGTGCAAACTTTTTTCTCAATTTATCAAACTCAGCCATTGTTATGAGCATTTACATAAAAAATTGAAGAGGGGGTATCAAGAAGAAACAAACTCAGATGCCCTATGTTATTGGATCAGGTATGCCTGTTGTTGAGCGTAACATAAAGAGAACAAAGATCTTTTCCCCCACTTCAAGATGAAAAATAAGATAAGAAAAAAAAGAGATAAGTTGATTCAATTTAAGATTTCAACAACAAAATATAAATGTTACTGTAATCGTGGATTAATTCAAAGGAAGTGATTCTTCGTGGTTTTCGTTTTTTTTTTGTATTATTGTGATTTCTGCCGTGTTCAATTATATCAAATTCAAGAAATTTTGAAAATTTTATTTATCCAGCAGAATTATCATGCCATTAATCATTGATTGGATTTGGATTCAAAAATAAATTCAGATTGTAAATTATGCAAATCGAGAAGGGGAGGAGAGAGAAAAAGTGTGGAAGGTAGTAAGGAGAAAGAAAGGAAAAAAAAATTATTTTATTCCGCAAATCTCTACCATTAGATGATATTGTAATCTAATGGTGTTAAGAGAGGTAGGCAAAAATAGGCAAATTAAGAGTAGGCAGAATTACTTATCCCTATATATAATTATATAATTGATTATAATTTGGCCCAGATTTAAATTATAATTTGGCCCGACTACAATTTGTAATTTGGCCCTATGTAAAATTTAAAATAAAGTAAATACTCTTTTTGGTTCCTAACAAAAAACACGATCCCCACTTTAGCCCTTTACAAAAAAGAATTAGTCTCGAGGTTCCTAAGAAATTCAAAGTGGACCCATTTAGTTAAAATCGTGATCTCTCAAAAATTCAAAAAAGACCAATATTAGTCCCTCAAAAGGACTAAAATGGGTCCACTTTGAATTTCATAGGGACCAACCGGCTAATTTTTTTTTGTGAGGGACTAAAGTGGGGACCGTATTTTTTGTTAGGACCTAAAAGAGTATTTACTCTTTAAAATATTTTTGGTGAATGATAAAGGTAATTTGTATTAGGTTATGTGTTTAATTTCCACTTGTATAAAAAAAAATATTTTTAGTAAAATTAAAAAATATTTAATAAAATTATAACTCTTCTTAGTGCTGCTTGCTCAAATATTCTGTATTTAATACAACTAAATGTATTATGATATTAATAACTAAAATTAAAAAAAATAAATACGCATATAATTTTTTGGCCTGGACTCAAATTTGAGCCCGACTCCGCCACTGCATTTAAAAATGAAAATAAATATAATCATTGAATCAACATAATCGATCTAATAGTGAAATTCATTGATAATAATAATATTGACTCAAATTTGAGCCCAACTCCGCCACTGCTAGGGGTGAAAGTGGGCTGGGCTAGGCCAAGCTTTGCCCCGAAAAGCCCAAGCCTACGTCAAAAAATTTCAATTTGGCCTGGCCCAAGCCTAGTATGAGTCTAACTGTTAGCCTGGTTTAGCCCGTTTATAAAAAAACAAATGGCCTGGCTTGGCCCGTTAGCCTGTTAATTTTTAACTTCCAAGCAGAACCATGAATCAACTTTACAAAGTACTCAAATTCAGTTGCTACACCAAAAATCATAATTTCAATGTCCAAACAGAATCATGAATCATAACAAAACTCATATAATATGCATTTCAGTCATTTTCGAAAGCAAAATGCTCAAACTAAATAACATATATTTCATCAGATCCAATAAACAAATCCATACTATGTAAATTAAAATAACTACATGAATCCAACAAACAAATCATGATGCTTGTAGTAAGTATAACTCTCCCAATTTTTTTTTAATATATTCATATATACAATCTAACATGTTGAGATGTTGGTTCCTCCTATATAAGAAATAAAATAAGATTTCTATTAAAATATAATCGAATATAATTAAGTTATAAATAATTGCAATTGATTAAATTTATATCTTTTTTTTTTTTTAAGACATACTTGCTCTATTTTATTGTATTTAAAATAAATAGTACAATATAGGCTGACCTGTGGGCTTATAGGCCCGGCCTTTTGAAAGTGGGCCTACGGCCTTTTTATTAAACATGCTTTTTTAAGGCACAAGCCCGGCCTATTATACAAAATATACTAGGTCAGATCTGGCCTGATGTAGGTCGAGCCGTAGGCCGGCCCGGCCCAGTTTCACCCATAGCCACTGCATATAAAGATGAAAATAAATATAATTATTGGATCAACATAATTGATTTAATAGTAAAATTAATTGATAATAATATTGATAATAATTCTAATGGATTATTACAATATCCTACTCCTATAAAAAAAATACCGTAAGATCCAATATCTGTGTAAAATTAAATACACCAAGTATTTTTGAGTGAAAAAAAAAATGGAGTTATTAGTGTAATTAGTCTATTTGTGTCGTCCTCTAAAGACGCACAGGTGTTGGGAGCAGCAAGAGTACGCAGAAGTAAGCTTCAAGTCCAAAAAATTATGGTGCACAGCGCGTACGATTGTTTAGAACTTGTGGGCGATTGCCCTTCGAAGATCGAATCCATTGAATCGTACGGGTCGAAGCTCCTTGTCGGGTGCTCCGATGGATCGCTCCGAATATACGGGCCGGAAATGGAATCTTCCGACGGTTCTCCGCCTTACGTTCTGGAGAAGAATCTGGTCGGATTTTCGAGGAAGCCCGTCCTCTCTATGGAGGTATTGGAGTCGAGAGAGCTTCTTCTATCGCTCTCGGAGTCCATCGCGTTTCACAGGCTCCCTACGTTGGAAACCATAGCAGTGATCACAAAGGCCAAGGGCGCCAACGTCTTCTGCTGGGACGAACGAAGAGGCTTCCTCTGCTTCGCAAGGCAAAAGCGCGTTTGCATTTTCAGACACGACGGTAATTAATTAATTAATTCCGTTACTTTGATTGGATCAAATTGGTTACAAGTAATTGAGATTGAAATTGTGGATGTGATGCAGGTGGTAGAGGATTTGTGGAGGTGAAAGAGTTTGGTGTACCAGACGCGGTGAAGTCCATGAGTTGGTGTGGTGAGAATGTATGTATAGGTATTAGAAGAGAGTATGTGATTCTGAATGCTTCAAACGGCGCTTTGACTGAAGTTTTTACATCTGGGAGACTAGCACCTCCTTTAGTGGTGTCTCTTCCATCCGGAGAGCTTCTTCTTGGAAAGGTAGGTCTTATTCTCTTCTTTCAATGTGTGTGTTTATGTGTATGTGTGTGGTGATGATTGTTTCTTCATGCTTTAATTTATTTGTTTTAGGAGAACATTGGGGTCTTTGTGGACCAAAATGGGAAACTTCTTTCGGAAGGTAGGATTTGTTGGTCAGAGGCTCCAGTGGAAGTTGTGATTCAGAAACCCTATGCCATAGGTTTGCTGCCAAGATTTGTGGAGGTAACTCATTGTTTGAAATGATTTCCTGGCTCTTTCTTATTGTGAAAGAGGTTGTGGTTGTGGATCTTTGCTCTTTATATTGGTTGCATTTTGCAGATTCGATCTCTCCGAGATCCTTATCCGCTCATACAAACTGTTGTTCTTCGCAATGTTCGCCATCTTCGTCAAGGGAATAATTCGGTGATACTTGCTTTGGATAATTCTATTCATGGCCTCTTCCCTGTTCCTCTTGGAGCCCAGGTATTGCATATGTTGTTCAATGATACATGTATTTTTGCTGCAACACCTATTTCTGAATTCTAATGCAAATGACAAAGCAGTGAATCATGTTACTTCTTTTTATAGTACCTTGTTATCAAATTCTGTACTTAATCTTGTGTATCAGCTTTGTTAAATCAGAAGTTAAGGATTTTGATATTTTTCTGCAGATTGTCCAATTAACAGCGTCTGGCAACTTTGAAGAGGCATTGTCATTGTGCAAGCTCCTTCCACCTGAAGATTCAAGTCTGCGTGCTGCAAAGGAGGGGTCAATTCATATAAGGTTATTTTCCATCATGAGATATTCCTTTTAAAGAAATAAAATAGACGATTTGCCCCTATTGAGATGAATACCTTTGATTTTAAGTTTATCCTATTTCTGAGCACCGGTTAGCTGGCAGTTTAAGTTTGTTACCATTCTGAACTCTCGCTTACTAATTGTCTGAAACTTGTAGGATTCAGTGATAGTTACGATTGAAATAAATCAGTACTCTCATAGTGAGGTTTGGACTAATTGTTGACCTAGACTTTGTATTTATATAATCACGATAGCTAATGTAAACAAAAAAAGAAAAGTCTGATGCTTGTTATATTTGTTACTAAGTGTTCCTTGTAAAAGTTTACCTTTAGCTTGCTTTTAGATATTTGCTTAAGTTGGGATGTGCTTTGTTTATCATGTTGATAAACTTTATTAGTAGCACTGGTTAATTTGTTTTCCCCAATATTAAGCAATATATTGTCTTCATTATATTGGTGGATAAAGGACGTACAATGATTAAAAATGTATTGGATTATGTATCAAATAACTAGAGTGTGATCTGTACAATGTATCAGAAATTCCCATATTTTGAAAGAATTGTCCCAAGCTATATTTTATGCATAATAATTTTGACCATTGTACATAAATTGAAAGAGAGGAAAAAGAGATTAAAGAAGATAATAATAAAATGATAACAGAATTTGAATTTTATCTATATTGAATTCATTACTATCTAATCTCATAGGAATTTTTGAAATAAATTTTCTGAATTTAATTATAAAATTATGCCCATTATAATATTGCATTATAGTTGCGTCTTTAAATAGTTATAATCAAAGTCTTTACACTTTGATAATTAAATAATTAGTAGTAATAATTATACAAGCTAAACTCTTCATAAAAATAATATTTTAAATTCTTCTATAGAAAGGTTAAAACATTAACGTGTCAAGACATTAGAGTCCATGTTTCGGATTTATATATTAAATATAATTAAGATATTGAAATATGAGACAACGTGTTCTAACCCCTGAATATCGGTATATATGTGGTTAGTTAATGAGCCACTAGTGTGGGTTGCATAATGCCTACAGTAATGATAAGGTTAACTTTGTTTAGTGGAAGATTTTGCCTTTCATGCTTTTATATTTAGTAGTTAGTAGTTTTTGTAAATTACATCAAGCTCAACATATTAACCATTGCTTACTTTGCCTGTGTTTGTCTAATGTTGTTACAGATATGCCCACTATCTCTATGACAATGGAAGCTATGAGGAGGCTATGGAACATTTCCTGGCATCTCAAGTAGATATAACCTATGTGCTTTCTCTGTATCCGTCCATCATCCTTCCAAAGACAAGTACTATCCATGAGCTTAAGAAGTTGGACATTTATGGGGATGCTTCATCTCTCTCCAGAGGTTTTTCGGGTGGGTCAGATGATATGGAACTATCATCAACATCTCATATGTCAGAATCTGATGAGAATGCAGCACTTGAATCCAAAAAAATGAGCCATAATATGCTTATGGCTCTGATAAAATATTTACAGAAGAAGAGATATAGTTTTATTGAGAAGGCCACTGCAGAGGGAACTGAAGAAGTTGTTTTAGAGGCAGTTGGGGATAACTTTGCATCCTACAACAGGTTTAAGAAAACAAACAAGGTAGAATAAACTAGCTTTTATTTTAATTTTGTTTTCTGCCTTATTTAATGTATCTCCAGTGTGTAATGTCAATGATTATGGGGTAGATTTGGTAAAACCTACAACTCATACTTTTCAGTTGGAGGCCAACTAGGTAATTGTTATGCCTATATAAAGGTTTATTGACAAAAACACACACTCACACGCCCCACACTAAAGTACTGTGGATTTCTTTATAAGACATACGCAGGATTGATGGTGAAGCTGTGGAAGATATGATGTCCTTAATCTTTTTTGAAATGGTTGAACAGTTTAATAATAATTTATCACAGTTGTTATTGTTATCGTTTTGAAATTATTGGTGTCAGGGGCGTGGTAGTATATCTGTTAGTTCAGGAGCTCGGGAGATGGCTTCAATATTGGATACTGCTCTACTTCAAGCCTTGATTCTTACTGGACAATCTTTAGTGGCTTTAGAATTATTAAGAGGTGTTAACTACTGCGATTTGAAAATAAGTGAAGAAATACTTCGAAAAGGCAACCATCATGTTGCTTTATTAGAACTTTACAAGTGCAATGGTTTGCACCGGGAAGCTCTTGAACTTCTTCACAAATTGGTGGAAGGGTCAAAGTCTAGCCAGTTTGAAATTACACAAAGGTTCAAGCCTGAGGACATTGTTGAGTATCTCAAGGTAACTTTCTATTTGGTTAAATATTTAGCTCATTTTTTTTTTCCTTCTAATTTTGAAAGGCTTTCATGGCTAAATTTTTTACTGCCTTAAAGACTAACTTACTGATTTAGGATGGTGCTTAGGATTTAGGAAGCGGTAGAATCTGAGTATATGACATGCTATAATCTGTAGTCAGATAGTAAAGTCCACACTTCATGGAATTTTTTGGTTGATTTATTGGGCGTGGTATTATTAACATTAGGTTCTAGCTTTAATGAGGTTAAGGGAAGGTATTATTCTTCTGCTTTAATTGATAGTCTATATTTATTTATATAGTTTTATTTTATTTATTTTTCTATTCCCTCATTTTTATTTTTATTTGCTTTTCATTTTGGTTCATCGGCCGCCTACCAACTCCTACTGGGAAAAAGTTGATGTTGATGATGTTGTTTAATTGATATTCCAGATCAGATGACATTTTGTCATTAAATAAACAAATGAACTTTTTTATTCTGTGGCCCTGATATGCTAACAACAATTGTTTTAGAGGTTTTTCCTGTATCGGCTAATTCAATTCTTTAACTCTGCATCCAGCTGTACAGGAAAACTTGTTTGTGTAATCATTTACAGATTAACTCAGTTTTTAATTTGTTGGGTTTCTGATGCAGCCGCTATGTGCAACAGACCCCATACTTGTTCTAGAGTTCTCTATGCTTGTTCTTGAAAGCTGCCCATCCCAAACTATTGAGCTCTTTCTATCCGGAAATATTCCAGCAGATATGGTGAACTCATATTTGAAGCAGCATTCTCCAAACATGCAAGCTACTTACTTGGAGCTCATGCTTGCAATGAATGAGAATGCCGTATCCGGCAATTTGCAAAATGAAATGGTGAGGACCTTTTGCATCTTATTTGAAGGCTCTAAGGACCGAAGCAGTTCTACTTTTTCTTTTGTCTGGGGAGGGGGTTCGGGGAATTTCATCAAAATAGCTTTTAAAAACTTTGTAAAAGCATTTTGTTGATGCTGCTGCATGCCCAGCTGCTTTATTGTAGCACGTTTGATATATGATTTATAATAAAAGAAAATTCTGTATTTACTCACAGTATTCTGCAATGTAGGTACACATATATCTTTCTGAAGTACTTGATTGGCATGCTGATTTAAGTGCTCAACAAAATTGGGATGAGAAAGCCTATTCCCCAACACGGAAAAAATTATTGTCTGCTTTGGAGGGTATATCAGGATACAATCCTGAAGCTCTGCTTAGTCGTCTTCCACCTGATGCTTTATATGAAGAGCGTGCAATATTGTTGGGGAAAATGAACCAACATGAACTGGCATTATCTTTGTATGTTCATAAGGTATATCAAATATGTATCATCTATTTACTGGGAAGGGTAGATTCAGTGATATTCCCAATGCACCTAAGTCAATTACTTCTTGTACGAGTGTTATATTAAGTCATGGTTCTTAAGCTGATGAATATTATGGGAATAAATGAGTGTACCTATCATTTGTAGCTTCATGTTCCGGAACTGGCGTTGTCTTATTGTGATCGGGTGTACGAGTCTTCGCATCAGCCATCTGTAAAATATCCCAGCAACATATACCTGACGCTTTTGCAAATCTATTTGAATCCTCGGAGGACCACGGCAAGCTTTGAAACGAGAATTACAAATTTGTTATCCCCACAGAATACAACCATCCTAAAAGTTGGTTCAACGGCATCAGTAAAAACTAAAGGAAGCCGAGGAACAAAGAAAATTGCTGAGATAGAGGGTGCAGAGGACACAAAAGTAAGTTTGAGCAGCACTGACAGTAGCAAGAGTGATGGTGATACGGATGAATTTAGTGAGGGTGGTTCTACTATCATGCTTGATGAGGTCCTTGATTTGTTGAGCCGCAGATGGGATCGAATAAATGGAGCTCAGGCCCTTAAACTTTTACCAAGAGAGACTAAATTACAGGTATCCATTGCTTTTTGGTACACCATAGCTAAAGACCACACAACTGTTTTTACTGGTATAACTTCTGCTCTTTGGAGTTTTGTTCTGTTAGGAATACGTTTATATTTTGTCAAACATTTATTAGTTTCATCAATCTGGTAAAAAGTTTATCTGTTATCTGCAGGACTTGCTTTCATTTCTTGGACCCCTCCTGAGAAAATCTAGTGAAATGTACCGTAATTGTTCAGTGATCAAGAGCTTGAGACAGAGTGAGAACCTTCAGGTAAAGCATACACCAGGAATCAAAATTTTAATTATTTAACAGTTTTGGGGGAATTTTTAGCCTGGTAGGGTTGGAGGCTATAGTGGAGACTTCCTAGTTTCTTGCTTCGGAATGGGTTTATCGTACAATATCATTACTTCTTACTCTCTAGTACTTGTACTGTTGTGATGCAACGTGGCTGAGCCAATGAGCCGCATCGCTCTTGCACATTCAGATACTTCTGTTTTGTTAGTATCTAGCAACTAGCATGATTCAATTTGTTTTGCACAGGTGAAAGATGAACTCTATAGTCAGAGGAAAGCAGTTGTGAAGATAACCAGTGATAGCATGTGTTCTCTGTGTCGTAAGAAAATAGGGACAAGTGTTTTTGCAGTCTACCCCAATGGGAGCACTCTCGTGCACTTTGTCTGTTTCAGAGATTCTCAAAATATGAAAGCAGTGACCAAAGGGTCTCAATTGAGGAAGCGATTATGAAACGGAAAGACCATACAAATTGGTGATCCAATTGCCTTGGTTGAGCGTCTTTTTACCCATGGTGCCTGCTGGTTGGTGGATTATGACGACACTGGCACTAATTTGTTTTCCGAAACCAGTTTTTTCCAGTTTGTTCGTGTGAAAAGTGAGATTTGATATGGGAAGAGCGTGATGTGTTTCTCTTTTATTTTCTTTTGTGATGTAAATATTGGGTGAGGGTCGGACATTTATTTATTTTGAGCATTGGAAGGGAGCAGATTTCCCCCTCCTTTTCCTTCTCAGTGTTGTTGTATTCTGCGCGAAAATATCAGAGTTGAATTCAAATATTTATTATTATTAAAAAAATAATTGTTAAATTGTATATACTATATTAGTCCTAACTTCCATGTAATGGCTATACTTTTGGAATAATAATTCAAGCCCTTTTCCCCTTGCAGTATTTTCTAACCCATTAAAAGGACAAAAATATCACATAAAAACGCCTTATTTTAAACCTAGGATGTATGTGAACCATCGAAGTAGCCATTACATTTTTCACATGATTTTGTGCATAATATTAAGGAAAAATCTCCTTTTATTACTTTTAACTCAAGAGGTATATGCATTGATTTTTAAAAACATTAAATGTAATCTTTAAACTTTATAAAGTATGTATTTTAATGATTTCGTCTAATTTGATTTTGAAAATTGATAAAAAATAGTGGGTTTAGGTGGTGTTAGTAAACCCGATTTAGATCGATCGAGTTGACTCGAAAACTGAGCAATCGTTGATACAATCGATTCGAGTGAGTCAATGAATCAGCTATATAATAGATCCAATAAGAACCCGTTCGACTTGGTTGATTTTTGGCAAAAATTGATAATCTGACCCCTTTTTTTTAACCGGTTGAATCAGTGGGCAATGTAATTTTTTTAAAAATAAAATAAAATAATGTGTTTTTACACTACTAATAGCATCCCAAATCCCTAATTTGAAACACACGTTTACATTTTTTGTTGTTGGTATATACACATTTATGTATTTTAAGCATTTGAATATTTTTATAAAATTTTGAGTATAAAATATAAATTTGGATATATTTAAAATATTTATCCGAGTCAACTAGTTTAAACAGTGACTCATTAAACTAATACCTCCCGAGTTGATAATTGAGAGTCCCAGACATATTTAATAATATTTATTTGACACTTAAGTTTATTTTATCCGCTGTAGTTAATACTTAAAAAAGGGATAATTTATGTTAATGTTTAATAACAAATTAAATGAAGTGATTGAAATATATATTCTTAGAGATTTCATGTTTTTTAAGTTTAAAAATCAAAATCCACATGATTTTGAATCGAAGATGGTAAATTAGTGTTTTTTTCGAATATTAGAACTAAACATTTAATTTTTTATTAAAATTTCAATTAAACAAGCTCGTTGACACTTTTTTTTTTTTTTTTTTTCGGTAAACAAGCTCATTGACACTTAAAGCTTATAGACGACTTGCACTATTCTATTAAGATATGATTTTAACGATGAAGTGAAAAGTATACACTGACCAAAAAAATAAAGGCATATTTGCCTAAACTAATACACTGAAATTTATTGAAGCAATAAATCCACATACATCCTACGGCCAAGGTTGTACGCGGCTGTCGATGGTAAAAATGAAAAAAAAAATTGCAAACATAAAATAAATGTATTACTATTGGATTATTACTATTGCAAACATACACTGATATTCTTATTATTAATTTTTTACTACCACTCTAATCATTATTGGATTAGAGGAAAATTTGAATGGAGAGAGAAAAAAAAAATGACTTTTAAATCCAATGGTGATTAGAGTGATAATAGAAAAAATTCGTAGTAAAAATATCTTTGCTCTTTTATTTTTACCTCTGGTTGAAAATCTTTTTTAATCAATCATCTATTTTTCACTTTTTTCACTTTTTATTAAAAGAAAAAATTTCACGTAACTGGTGATGTGAAACTTTTGTGATGTGAAATTAGGATCCACTTCCATATGTTTTTCTCATGGAAAAAAATATATCTTTTATACATTCATCAAAATATATATTTTGAGATTTTTTTTTTTAAAAAAAAACACATGTAAACCTCATATATTTCATGGCTACAATATAAAAGGAATTATCTCATATGACATGAGTCATTTTTCCATCATTAAATTTACACAAGAAAACTATTATTGGGTTTTAAGTGAGGCGATTGAGTAATTCATCATATGCTATTGATTCAAACTTATATTCTACCATTATATATTGTAAAGCTTTCCGTCGCCCCTACGTGTCCTTATTCACATTTTTTTTATTTAGGATTAAAAAATAAGTAATATGAACAAGTCATTATGACTACAAAACTTTAAATGGAAAATTAAAGAATTTTAAACAGTTACAATTGCAAAATATGAATCACTTAGAATTTTATTATTTTTATATTTCTTTTTTATATTTAGGTTTAATCAAATAATGATAGTATTTTGGAAAACTATGACTAGATGATAAAATTAATTTTTTAATAGTATATTTAAAATAAATAAAACGATTTAAGAAAAATAAAGCTATAATCAAATGAGAAAATCATATTTAAAATAGTAGCTAAAAAAATAGCCAAAATCTATGAATTGTCTATTATCACTCCAATATATCGACTCCTCTTATTTAATTAACTTACATAATTTTTATAAGCAATTAATTTGACTGAAAAACGGAAAAGAATATTTTGAATAAAAATTACTTGAATAAAAGTGATAATACACATTTCACCAAAAAAGAAGAAGTGATAATACACACTCTCCAAAAGTGTTTTTAATAATAATGAACATTAACATATCACACGGAGGTCCCATGGTCTAGTGGTCAGGACATTGGACTCTGAATCCAGTAACCCGAGTTCAAATCTCGGTGGGACCTAATATTTTTTTATTTTGTTGTATTTCTGTTATAAATCCATTATTTGCTTGTGAGAGCAGAGTTTTCGTTGCTGCTTTAACTAGCTCTTAAATAATGATTTTGAATCTACTTGATTTTGAGTATTTTTTTAGTTCTGTAAAGTATTAAGATGTAATTGAAATCAATATAATTTAATCCATATCAAAATCAAATACTTGTGTAATCTTAATATACTTATCTTGGAAAAGGATATACAAATTCAACTTAATTATCTTGAAAAGTAGTAGAGTAATAATATTATTTATAAATACTATTTTTTACACATACTTTTGTAAATCATTTTGATAACTACAAATTCTCAGTTTAATTTTCTTCTTCTAAGCAACACATTAATTATACATGCATTTAGACATGTGCAACTATCATTATTTAAAATTAGTGTCAGCATTTACCAAAAGAATATACGGGCCTCATTTGGTGGCAGAGCTAGAAAAAAAATTTAGCCTGTGCCAAACATCAATTTATGAAAAAATATCAATCAACGCCAATTATGGAGGAAGCTATTATTTGCATAATTCTCTGTTATTTCAATAATTCTATAAATATGAAGTCAACTATTTTTGAAAATCAATCAGTGTCAAAGCTCTTGCTATATATTTATATATATTAAATGAAGAATACATTGCTCCAAAGATTATTTTCTTTTTCTGCTGTTTCCTTTTAGTTAAAGGATCAAAATTATGTGATTACTGGCCAATGGCATTTCTTAGCTTAAATATAGCATATAATGGTATTATCCCAAGAAATGGCTATATTAGCCCTACCACCTCAGGAAGGCCTAGAAAGATTGATTTTGATACAATTAAGAGTTCGAGATTTTGCAAACCTTGGCATTAAAGATAAGTTTAACATATAATAAGGTATTGTTTGGCATCCTAAATTTTATCATTCAATAAATAACATTTTGGTCGTTGGTATCTTTGACCATGAGCGTGGGGAAAATTGAATAAACCTCCTTGATAACAGAAGCAAAGATAAGAACCTGTCACAGGTTGTATTTGGAACCTTGGTTCTTAATTTTAATCTTTTGTTTCAGGTGTTTATTCCTTCTTTTGCAAGTAGGGAAAAAAAATAAGAATCATATGCACTCTTCCATATGGTAAGAGTAAGCAACAACCGAAGCTCCATGAATCGGGCACGTAGCAACTATTGAGTCAAAAACATGCGTGCCTAAACACACAGTAAGCACTCGCACACTACATGTGTAATTCCAATTGATGCAAGGATGGATGGTGTCTTCAAAATTTCAAATAGTGAGAATCGAGGTCATTTCATTATATATATTTTGTTGTAGGAACGTACTAGTACCTAATACATTTATTAAAAATATCAGTGCATACACGTCTCTGTAGGTTATTGACTACTCAAATCCACGTGTTATGTCTTTGCGTTCTTTATTTCTCTTAATCAAATAGGAAATAGTTTGAAAAGCTAAAGTCCATCAATGCCCTCAGGCTGATCAGGTAAAAAGGGAAAAAAAAAATTAATCTAAAAACAAATAAATACTTCATCTGAGTTATTATTGTTCTCCTATATTAATGAATTCTGTAACATTCATTCATTGCTAGTTATACTTTGAACTTCTGTTTTATCTGTATACCCAATGAACTTTTAAACATTTAGCGAATAAAAATTAAAATATGATAAAGTTTTGCTGGTGTGTGCTTAATAGTATTTGTTAAGAAATATTTATTTAAGGGGCAAATTATATTTACAAACTTTTTTGTTTACCAACTACACTATGTAGGACCGGTCCTATATTAATCTCACAGTGTACGACTGGTCCTACATTAGTGTAATTGTAAAAAAAAGTTGTAAACGGATCCTATCCCTTTATTTAATATCTTATATTCATTTTTTAATTATTTAAAGAAATTGTATTAAATTTATTTGTTTATCGCAATATAATAAATGTTCTATTTTTCATTTAAAACTTTCTATTTTTACTTTCTTAACTAGTGAGCATTTACCAGCGAATCCCTAAATTCTATAATTAACAACTCACGATACTTCTATAGTTCATATTTGTTATGTAGATTCGTCTTTTTCATGATTGTTTAGTGCTTCAAATGGATATTTGGACCGAAATCCTTACTTTCAGGAAGAACACAAGAATACTTCAAAAGTAAGCAACCGACTAATATTCAGAACAAATCTCTCTTATCAATATACTAGCTGCACAACCATCATATTATATGAGCATAGTATATATAATATGTACTTTTCTTTGACAACTTGCAAACTTTCCACATATAGTTTAAAAGGCGCACCAATTACTAGTTTTAGAGTGTCATCTCTTGAATCGAGTGTCCTTATAATATTCACATTAACAACTTCATACTCCATTGCGTTCCCCACCCATTTGCACCCTTTTTTGCGGTCAAAGATTCTTCGTATTTTAGGGACTAGTTGCCCACATGATTACTTCTTTCTTACCATCCAAAATCCTCTGATTTTTTATGAAATGACATCCAACACACTTTCTTCTCATAACTCCAGTCTAAGATGGACAAGCAAAAAGAACAAACTGTTTGAAAATGCCTTGGCAATATATGATAAGGAAACCCCTGATCGTTGGTACAACATAGCCATGTTTGTTGGAGGCACAACTGAAGTTGAAGTCAAGAGCCAATATGAGATGCTTCTGGAAGACATCAAAAACATTGAGTCAGGCAAGGTTCCCCTCCCAGCTTACAGAAGAAATGCCGGATGTAGCAGAGGTAACACATGTGATTCCCCACATTAACAACATTGTGGAAACAAATTATATTTTGAACAACCTTCATATATAGAATTGTTCCTTTCTTAATGAAACTATTACTTTCCGATAAGTATGACTTCACTTGATTACTGTTAATCCCCTGTCATTGATCTTTCAATCCTCTATTTGCATAGTTAGGCCTGGTGTTAATCCCCATCTCCTATGAGAATAACATTTTATGAGAAAAGTCTAGGACAGTTACTAAAACTCTGTTGCCCACCCCACCTCTTAAACCAAGTCAAAAACTTTGGGAAAATAGGAGATGCACAAAACTTGAATGCAAATCGAACCTGTTAATTCATGCTTATGCACAAATTATAGTGCACAGACAGCAACCGCTTACACTACGAATGATCTAAATATTTTACATGCTTAAAGATGTAATTATAATTATAATGAATGTTATTTAAAAATTTATGCCTGAATAGAGTAAACTCTAGAAAGATTGAGCGAGTTGCTTTTTTAACCCCTCATCCATTATACTTTTAAACTGGACTAGTAACCAATTTACTTCATCCTGAAGTTTTGTAAGTACAACCTCCCAACAAAAGAAAGTACAAGATCACCAGCATTTCTTGTTTGTTTGCTAACTGTAATTTTTTTATTACAAATTATGTGCAGGCTGAGGGATTTAAAACTCCAATGAAGAATGACCTTAAAAATGAAGAGCAAATCCATTTTTCGAGAAGTCATTTTAACAATTACGAGCATCGACCGTCAGTAACTTTGTTTTTTATTTTATTTTTTATCATAACTGTTTCTTTTAGGCGTATGTAATGAAGTTCTTCCATACTTAACATTCACCTTATATGACATCTCTTTTCATATAAGGATAAATAAAAAGCTTAAATAAGCATTGGTGCAACTTTTCTCCTGTAAGATCAGACAAAGTTAATGTTGACTTAATGGAAACTCGTAACCGTAAGGCAAAGTCCCACTTGATTACTGTGTTAAGCATTAAAGTGGGGTAAGGTCGTAAACAATTGTAGGCATTAATGACATTGTGAAGGGGAGTCAATCAGTCAAATGATAATAGCGGCACTTACTACTTAGTAGTAAACATAAATGTATGACCAATCTATTATCACTATAATCCAGTAAAATCAAGCGTTATGAGGCAGTAGTGAAGAATAAAAGTTCATCGATTCCAAGTAATTAACCATTTCTTACAATTAAACAGCAAGATATTTAAGGTCATAGGTTATATATTATAAACTTTCTTCCGACCCCACTGATCACTGGTGATTAAAGAAAAGCCTTCTAGTTCCTTGCAGATGACGGAAGGGATACAGAGTTTTCACCTTCATTTGGGCTGTCCCCACTTTTTCCAAATACCTTTGACGCATTAAATATCTGTTTCAAACAAGATATAATTTATCAGTTACAACAGTGTGGAGATCATAAACAGAGACTTCATAGATGCATACATCCACGGTAGAAATATTTACCTTTTGAATTGTGTTTCTCAAGCATGTCTTGTGTTCATCGACAGAAGCATGAATAAATTCATGAAAGTGATTTCTTAAACTAGACACGAAGCTCCCATTCCCAGACTTCTTTCTTTGGCAGAATGTGACTCTTGATGCTGGGTTGATTGGTAGTTTCTCATCAGTCTGCTTGTTGTTGGAACCCATTCTTGGCAGAACCTAGAACAAAGTTAATCCAGTGGCCATCAACATACTTAAAACTTAAAAGGCAATTTCCCATTAAGATTTTTGGATGTATCCTGTTTGAAACTGGTCTTCAATGCATCTCATTCCCCTTCCTTGGTATTTCATTTTTGGGTATTATAATTCAAACCCACCCATGTTTTCATGCACCCCTCTCACTCTGACACTCTTTCTCTACACTAAAATTTACTAACTCTGAATTTTACGGGGTTACATGCACGAATTCATGTGCAATCTAACCACTTAAGGCATACAAAACACACATCTCTGGGCTGTTAGATAACATGTGTAACTGTGAAATACTAGAGGTAAATCGAATGATAGTAAAGGATGCTGAATTGTTGTTTTCCTAACTTGTTTTATGTGCTGCACTATCGGGGGGAAAAAATAACTGGATGCGGCAAAGAAAAAACACCCTTTCTTCCTTGAAACATATGAAAAAACACTCTAACTTGTTTTTAATGTGCAACAGATGCAAGTTAGGAAAAGGAAGCGTCAAATTACAAAAGCTGAACTACTACTCTAAGACATGTAACATTATTAAAGAAATAACACTCACTATCTGTCTTGTCGGCTACGTCAAATTACACACAAAAGCATACATATGAAGAAAAAAAAAAAGAGGACCAATGGCGACTTACTTTGCAATGAATCACGCAAACGAGAAGAGATGGGCTTCAACGGCGACTTACGTTGATCCCACACTCGCCGCCTTTAGCTGCGACAATAGAAATCGTTTCGTTTCCAGCAAGACACGAACGGCGCTTCAACGGCGTCGTATACGAGATTCCCGGTGGGTTCTGATTTTTTACAGGCATGCAGTCTTGAGAATGAGGACATGCCCTTCTTCATTATTCGCAACAGGCCCAAGCCCATTAAAAAGTCTTGCTCCTCAAAGCCTATTCAGCCTTCGTTCGTAGAAAAACAATTGGGGAGCTTTTTTAAAATAAAAATAAAAATTGAGCTGTAACTTCAATTTTTAGTTACTTATTTTTTTATTTTTTTTAATACAATGATGAAAATAGAACACATAACCTAATACAAACTACCAAAATCCCTCGCCAATATACCAATCATAGTTACTTAGGGGGTGTATTGGATTGAGATTTCAAAGAATTTTAATGGATTATTTTTGGACTAAAAAATCCATGGGTATTGAATTAGGATTTTAATGGATTGAAAAAAAGTCATGTGGTATTCGATTAAGATTTTAAAATATTATTTTAGAGTCCGTTCAAATCCGTTGGTATTCAATCAAGATTTTAAACAATGGAAAAACAATCTTGTGGTATTCGAAAATCTAACGATTTTAATGAATTTTCTATTGACGTGAATTTCATGAGACTTTTTAGTAAGAAATATAAATAGGATGCCTCTTTCACAATCTCACCCTAATCTGATTTCTTGATATTTCTCTATTGCAGTGTTTTTTTTTTCCTTTGGCAGGTTGACTTGCTCGAAATTGAGTTCTGCTGTAGGAGTTTCGTCAAAACTCAAAAATACTATATTTTTAAGCAATTTTCATCAAAAAAATAACCCAGAAACAACAAACCAACGAGATTTAATATAATTTATCTAAAAAACAGCATGTTTTTGAGAAATTTTGAAAGTTTAAAAAATAATTTTTTAAGCTATGGGTCGCGATTTTTTGTTGCACAAAAGGTGTGATTTTTGTATTAAAAACAACATAAAACAGTGAAAAATAACAGGGAAACTAAAACCTTCAAACCAATTTTCATTTTATATCAATGAAACAATATCAATTTAAAGAAAGATTAAAACTTTCATAATATGAACCCTATATTTTGTAACAATATATTCATGAACGAAATTTCTTCACTATAGGAAACGATTTCAAACAATTTTTGTGTCAATAGATAACTAAAAATTTGTTTTTCAAAAGCCCCAAGAGCAATTTAAAGTTTCAATGTATCGAATGAAATTTTTTTGAGAAATTTTCTAAACTTTTATGTAATAATAAAACCCAGAAATTTAGATTCAAAATCTTCTTAGAATATTCAATGAAAATATGCATAAGATATATGGTTAGAAAACTCTCATCACGCAGAACAAAACTTCCAAAGTTTTCAAGATCAACTGTAAAAAATTCCAAACGAAATTTTATCATGAACTTTAGGTTCTATATGCAAATTGAGAATTATTTTAATAATTAAAAAAAATTGGGTCTTATAATCATATATGCATGGCTTTGGTACCAAATAAAGAAGATAATTTTCAACCATTGGTCAAACCCAAGAGCATGAACGAGAAAATGTTAACGAGTGGAGGACTAGTATAACTTTAGATATGTGAAGAGCTGTTGCTTAGTAATTTTGAATGTTTGTTAAAAATTATATTATGTTTTACTGATTGAGAAAATTATATTAGGTTTTACTTTTTTTATTAATTTTATTGCATTTCTTTGTTATTTTTTTATTTACTCTTTTAATTTTAAATGTTTGTTAAAAATTCATATAATTTTTTAAAATCTTATAAATTCATATTGCCCTTTCAAATCTTATAAATTCTATTAAAATCTTTTAAAATTCAACCTTATGAAATCTTGATTGTAAAAAAAGTCTTTAAAATCCCTCCAATTCTAAATAGTCTTTTAAAATCTATAAGATTTTTTATCTCAAAAAAGTCTTTTAAAATTCTAATTCAATACACCCTCCTTAATATTTTGTAAAGAAGGTCTAAGCTAAAGTTTACACAAAACAACTTTAATCCCGAAATCAAAGTCCCTAAATAAACTTATTAACCACTTGGGGTAGAGGTCTTAAAGCTTATATTTTGTTTGAAGGATCAATTTACATTTTTCTGTTCTTCATCTCTTTTTCTTCTTCTTCTTTTTAATTTTGAATTATATTTATCTTAGCCATGCTAGGTTAAGCACCCTTTAATCAATCTAAGGGTAAAGGATTCCATTGAAGAGTCTAGAGGATCTGCGCATCCTCTTTAATCAAATTTATTTCTTTTTCTAACTCAGATTGATAACGTGCGATTGTGGATATTCAATTTGAGATATGCGATTGCAATTATGAAAAGAGATTGATCATTAGATTTGATGGTCAGATTGATTAATCCTATGACCTTAAGTCGAACGGGTTAATACTCTGCGATTGTATGAGTAGAAGCATCATTTTTAACCAAACACTAGGCGATCGTCTAGAGAAAATTTTCAATTGAATACGAGGATTCCGATTCAATTGAGTTCAATCACGAATTTAATATCTATTTATCCGAGGAAGGATATCCTAGGAATCTTGACCTTAGGTTGACTATTTTATTTACAAATTTCAATTTCAATTTTACATTCTGTTTTATTTTAATTAAAGCGAACAAAAATTCTTTTCTTTTTTTTTTAATTTGTGATTTAAATCTTGAGAGACGACTCATACTGACACTTTGGTACAAAATTTTATTGAACCTGATTAGTTTAAATTTGCGTAAGTTCGACGGCTCACATCAAATTTGAATCAAACAACTTCTATTTTCTTAAAAAACATAAAATAAAAAATCTTCTACTTCGATTATTTTCACATGAAAAAACAGAGCTAATAAATTCAGTCCACTGAGAACGTGCTTAAGTGTCCACAGCTGCTCCTTATGTATACGTGCCTCTGTTCATTGAACTCAACAAATTTGATTAAAGCTTTTAAGACGCTTATCACAAAATCATTCTTCTCCGAGTTCAAGCTTTTATATTAAAGCCTTCTCATATATAATGGATACTAAGATAGGTAAGTAACCTGCAACCTGCAAGTCATCCAGTTTCTTGCGGTTTCAAAATGTAATATGGTACAAGCACCACATTCACCCAAAAAAAAAAGGACATCCATCTGGAACATATCAGTGATGCAGTGAATCCATAATGTCTTCCAAAGACAGTATATAAGATTTAAGAATTCTCCTTTAAGTTGGAAACATTTCATGGAAGATGGCCTAAACAAGATTAGTCAAGCATGTAGATTCTAGAGGCTATGTCCTGAACCAACCAATCAAATCCCTCAAGCAGACCCTCACCAGTGTATGCACTACAGCCAATTATCTGCCAATGCCGAGATTTATCCATGGCTTCCAAGTTCAGCACCTGCATGGATATTAGAAAATCAACAACTCCTTAGAAACAAGGATAACTTAAGTTACTTGTGATTTTATTTATGGGTTTTATTAATGTTATGTTACATAACTTAAGTTTTGTTTCCAACACACAAAAAAAAAAAAAAAAAAAAAGTGGAATGATGAAAGAGAAAGAAAAACATGTGGACCTCACCTCTTTAATGTGTGTGTAGGAAAGTGAAGTTGTGTCATGTTACATGATAAACATAAAACCCTTTATTTTATTTGGTTTCCTACCGACGATACTAATCCCCTTCGTGATATAAAGCACGAAGATTTTTGCCTTTGGCCCCAAGTTACTTGTGGTTTAAGCTACTTGGGATTTGACCCGTTTAAAACTTTCTTCCTCTAACGTTTAGCTTATCTGTGTTTCCTGAAAATAAATAAAATTCAACTTTTGCTAATACTTATCTACTTATTGAGAAGAGCCCCCCCCCCCCCCCCCCCCCCCCAACCAAAAAAAAAAAGGAATCCTAGGCCCTGTTTGAATATTGTTTATAAAAACAAATTTTTAGTTTTCAGAACAAAAAACAAAGAAAACACTTGTTTTCATAACTATTTTATAAAACAGTTTTAAGGCAAAAAAAAAAAAAAAACACAATCAAACAGATCCCTAAATTCCTAAAAAAGCCGAAGTCAATGGTACCCAGGTTAATGAAGAAGGGTAATATAAAATTAAGCTCACCTTAGCTATTTCTTCAGGCCTAAGGGCACCTTTTATGTCCTGTTTATTTGCCAGTATCAGTAAAGAAGCTCCAGATAGCCTCTGTAAGATGAAGAATAAAATCTAGTGTCAATAATAATAGTTGACAAAAACCAAAAGAAAAAAAAAAAGACAGAGCAATCATTTAAGCATTCCAAGTTGTTTGCAGTACGAAATAACCACATTTGCTTTCTTAATACTAACACAAATATTTCTTCAAAGTGTCAAATGGTCAAGTACTTATAATGATTGGTTTGGTACCATTAATACTATACTACAAATATTCCTTGTAAGTAGTACAGGAGAAAGTTGTTGGAAATACAAAGAAACTGCCAGCAGGATAAACAGGTTTTCACATCCTGTATCAACCGTCCAAAGGTATTAGCTCGTGACAAAGAATCTTAAAACATTCACTTTATGCAAACTACTGAGTTTACATAGTATTAGCACAAAGCATAAATCGAATTCGATGCCAATCAAATAAAAGAGAGATAAATTGTTAAGTCTTCCAAAAGCATGACTGAATATCTTGGGGTATACACACCAATAACATGTAAGCAACTTGTTCAGTTCAATTGATAAGCAATAAACATTTGGATTTAACAAACCTCTTCCTTTAGAAGGTTATCTAGCTCAAATTTGCAATCATCCAACCTTCTCAGATCTGAACTGTCAACTACCCAAACCAAACCATCTGTTTGCTCAAAGTAGTTTCTCCAGTAAGATCTTATTGTTTTCTGGCCCCCAACATCCCATATGTTCAGAGTGTACCTGCCAATGTCCAAATGGATACATGCCTAAACATTATGTATTGATGTAAATCACTCTAAGATACTGAGCAAAACAAAGACTAACAGAATAAAAGGAATAGGCTATATAAGTAGTGAAATCATAAAGTGAAATAAGAACCCAGTAATTTCAAAGAAATTTATGTTATGCATATAAAGTCTGTTAAGAAATTGTCACTTTGATTAAAAAATGAAAAAAGAAAAAGAAACTTAATAGCCATTAAGGGGGAACTACTTGTTGTATGCGATGGTTTTGATGTTGAAACCAAGCGTGGGACTGATGACGCTAGTGTCCTCCCCATTTATCTTCAAAACGATTGTGGTTTTCCCAGAATTGTCCAATCCACTGCATAACAACTAATTTCAGGTACTATGAGTCAAGAGAATCAATGAGCTTTTTCTGAGAGAGAAATTCGAATTGAAGGAGCAACTTACACCATAAGAATTCGCATTTCCTTCTCTTTCTTCTTGATTTTCCTAATGATGCTTAGAAGACCCATTCAGCTCCCAAACACTTTCGACTTCGCACCTGAAACGCTTTCGTTCGTAGATCTACTATTCGATAATGATAAATTGCTGATAAATATGTCCAACATCACAGTGGCTTCTGCAAAGCGCGAGGTACTTTAATCAATTTATTAAAAAAAAAAAAAAAAAGTATGGAAAATGATATCAACTGTGACATCTTTTTTCTTTTTTCTTTGCGAAATGATATAATCGTTTTCTTCTTCAAGGAAAATATATTATGTTTTAAAATTTTAATTATTAATATGTTTTGAGAATAGAAAACAATAATGTAATATGAACAAAATTTAAAATAAAAAAATTATGAATGTATAAAGCCGTTAAGCCACATGTATAATTTTATAAAGCCGTGGCCACATGTAAATTAATGTTAAAAAAAAAATACTGCAGAAGAGCTATTTATTATGATTTGATAGTTTCAAATCACTTCGGTCATTATTTTTAGTTGGGATAGACGATTATTCATCATTATTTATTTATTAAAAGAGCTATTCATTTTTAAAATTTGTTTTTCGACAATGCTAACGATTTTTATTTTTTATTTTTTATTATTTTTTTTTTTGGGGGGGAGGGTATATAATACTAACGCCATTGATTATTCTTTATTTTATTTTTTAAGAATTTAAATTCAACTAATTAATAAGTAACCAATTTGTTTTTAGGACCAGAGCTGATTTTTATAGTAAAAAATAGTATTACAGACAATTCGAGACTAATTAGTTTGACATTAACATTGCAAAAACTTTAGTTAAATGGCCAATATTAAGATTGTTATATTGTAGGTATGAATATGAAAAAAGCCAGAGGTAAAAATTAATTTTCAGTAAGTTTCAAAATGGGTGCTTGTTTGAATCTCGATCACAATTCCGATGAGGTACGGCAACATTTCAGCATTCCTTTCAAAATATGAATTTTATACTTACAACCTATTCTTATTTACAACATTTTATAATCATATCTTAACCGTTGATTTTTCACCAATTAACGATTATTATTTTTGCAAATTAAACTCATTAATTAATCATTAATTCAAAATAAATAATAAAATCAACAGTTAAAATATGATTATAAAAAATTATAAACAAAAATAGATTTTAAGTATAACCTTTCTCTCTGACAATAATTGTAAAAGGTTTCCGTTATTCTTAAATCAAAATTAAATCAATCATAACAAAATGGTATCGTTCATTTCATTTGATCTAATGATAATAACATAAATATAAAAAAAAAAAACTATTAAGTATAACGTATTTATTACAATAGAATAATTCCTTCAGCACCCAAACCCAGGCAGAAATCTCTGTCGCCTTGTACGCATCAAGGGAGTCAAGGCATTCAATTAAAAAATATTATACATATATTATGTTATATTACATCAGTTTCTTTACCAATAAGAATCAGAAACTCTTTTTTCTTCATCCTTTTTGGGCTGCCGAGCTGTGGAGGTGGGAAGAGAGAAGAATATATTGTGCTCTACCGCATCCATCCTACATTCAACTGTTTCCTCCACGCTAATTAAAGTTAATTTTCTAATTGATCAAATTAGCTACTGACTGGGACAAAATTCTCTCATTATACATATTGATAACCAAAACGTTAATTCGTGGCCCTTGGGGGCTTGAGAAAGTATATACTCCTTACAAACCCTTTCCCAACTTCACCTACTGCTTTTAACACCTTGCAAGGGTTTCCTTCCTCAACGACTTCCTCTTGCTTCCGCTTCTTTTGAAAATAAAGTAAAAAACGGTGATAAGAAGATCCATTTGTTAAGATTTGTATAGTAAGAATTCAGACAAAGTCCATCAATATAATTGCAATTTTTATACCTTGGAAGAAAATGACTCCCCCCACGTTAGGCCAATAACATCACCTCCCAGAGAATCATGCCATACCTTGAATGTGGCGGAGAACTCTTTCTGCAAGTGATAAACGACAGTATCTAAATTAGCAAGGAGGATATTGACATATCCCGCAAAGGGAAACAACATCATTATGTTCAACATCAAATCATTGTAACTCGACTTGCCTCTAAATCTCTGATAAAGAACCTTGAAGGATCAAAGTCTACCAGCAACTTATTTTTAAGTTCCTCTGATTTTCCCTTCAAATCTCTAGGCAACAGAAAGGGTTGGAAACACTTGCTAGCATGTCCTCTAGCAACATGTGTACCTGTCAACATTGCAAATGATTATAACATTTTATAAGTTAAGCATAACTTGTGAAAGAGAAGCAGATCAAGTAAAATACAAAAAGGTCAGGCTGTCAATAATACTGTTCTTTAACTTACTAATTCCTTAGTCTACAGAAATATGAACAAATGTCATCCTGTATAATATGTTTCATATCCCTGGAACATTTTATTTGATGCCATCATACTTGACAATGCACACAGAAAAACCAGTTATGGCTAATGAAATTGTATATTGCCTTGCTACAAGAAATTATCACTACCAACTAATTATATCCCCTTCACCCTTGAGTTATTTTAGGACCGTATAATCATGTAAACTACCAGCAACTAAGAACTGTACCGTGATCAACTTCTGATGTGAAGAGAAGTCTATGGGGATACGGGAGTTTGTCCTTATGGAGAAGAATTATTGCATCATAATTTGTTAAAGGAGTTCGAAAAAGGCACTGCAGCAAGAATTGAAAAATTCATTAAGTCTCTCAAAAGAAATCTCTTCTACAATTAAAAGTTGAAACAAACAAATAACTGAAAAAGGTGCTCTACTCGCCTCCCATCTATATGAATCAATCTCATCCTGAAATGTGAGCTTCGTCAGCAAATTTGCACTGCTTCGGGCATAAGCAACTAACCTTTTAAGTTCCTGTTAAAATTAAAAACATTGACAAATCACTCTGGGAGGAAACCCAAACCTCATTAAAAATTATCACGCGCTTGAAACATATGCGAAGTAATGATGGGATAAACAGTGTTAAAATGCAGACATAAAGGTTCAAAACATCAGAAGAACAAATTACTTATGTGTGAAGAACTTAAGAGTGTAATTTACTGTTGGAAATCCCCTTATATATCAGCACACTCAACTTTTACTAAATCCTAAACATTCTCACTGGCAATTCATTGTTACTTAAAGGCAATCCAGCACCCAAGCATTATTATATATTATAGAGAGAGAATTACTCCTAGAATTAAGTGAATACAAATCAGAGGAGTGAGAACAGACATTGCAAATCATAAACATCTAAAGAAAGTACTGCAATAAAGGAACTTCAGGCCTTATGAACTCTATGACATAGCTCAGAAATTATATCCAAATTAAAGAACAACTAACCAGCGCATTAGGTGATAATCCAGTCCAAGTCTCAGAAGCTTTATCATAAACTGTAACTAAGAACATCATTGGCCCTACACTTTGTCCATTCTCTCCCTGACCTTTTCTTCTTAGCAAAAAGTTATCCTGAAAATCCATACAGTTATCATCAAGAAGAATGTATATTTTACCAAATACCAACATTAAAAACAAGTTTTAATATAATTATATACTCAGACACAAAACTTACATTTATTTCTTTTTCATCACTTTGGCTCAAGTCATTATTTATGTCAACAACAAGAGGAGAGAAAGTCCAATCATAGTTTGAGAGTAACCTCAGGAACCTGTCAATTAAATCATAGGATGGTATTATGATATTTAAAAAGACTTCTGAATAGGCCTAAGCCCTTGTGCAGAAATCTGATATTTCTTAAATGCCAACTCTCAGGAGAATCATCCATCCCAACTTCAAACCCAGTTCTGAAACCCCTTAACAAGTGAAAGGCCAAATTAACTGCCAGCAATATGGTTTAGGATATTCCACCAAGAAAATTAGGTTTAAAGGATTCCAGCTTTTTAGGACATTTAATATCTCCCAAACAAATGTGGAAGTTTTTCGTCTATCTTAGCCAGCAAGGTAGTCCCTTTTTTAGTCAAAAAGAAAAAGATAATAAAAGGAGAAAATCATTAAGGAGAAGAGAAAATATTCCTTGACAGTTTATTGTAAAGTCATGAGTGCAAGACTTTGACAATATGTGATGCAATGTTCAAGCAATCACAACATAAATAGTCATTTCATCTCTAGTAAAAAATATAGTTGCTGATTAGATGAGTACCAATAATTAGGAATCTCACCTTAAAAACCCAGTGATCCGCGAGCAAGGAGCATCATATGGCAAAGGATTAAGAAAGAGATATGCAACCAATAGTTCAACAGCCTCCTCTACCAAGCAAGCTGAAAATAGATGTGAAGCAGCCCAACGTTTTGCAAGTCTAGACATATAAAAACCCTATATGAGTTGCAGATTACAAATGGAAAATAGATTGACATAGAGATTTTCAAATATTCACCTAACTACTGCTCCATATATTGGGTAACGACTTTGTAAGCCATTGATCATGTTAGCATGCTGACTATGAATAAAAAGTTTTTTGTCAGCAGAAGGAACCCGCTTTGCTTGGTCATTTCCAACTGCATGTTAAAATGGTTAGATAAGTGAAATTGAGAAGTGGCATTTCCAATTAAATCATCATAATCATATAAAGAGTGGAAGCCCATACTTTCCATGCTGAGCAAATTAAGGCCCCTCTCATGTAAAATTTTAAGACGAAATGCATATCCAGACATTAACACATCCACATCATCCTCAGTAGCTGTACACGTCATCCCCCACATCTTTTGAAGACTGCCACAATAACGTAATCATATCATGTTAAATATTGAGTAAAAGAATAAGATCCTGAAGCGAATAAAGAATCTAAGCCCCTACCTCTCTCCAATTTGAATGAGGAAACTCGATTTTGTTTTTTCAATAGCAACTTCATCCATTGGCCAGTTCCCAGAACCTTCCAGCTGTTAAGAAAAAATAACTTTTCATAAATTGTCTATAAAAAAGTCAGTTCATTGAGCAGAACAGGTGCATAAAGCCATACCTGAATCATAACTTCCAGTGGTTGGATGCATGATGGAACTAACTTATTCAGTCTGAGAGATTCAATTTTTTCATTAGCAAGAAGATGAGGCTCAGGAGGGAAGACTGACGTTAACCTGAAGGCTGTAAATCATAATAAGCATAAAGCATTGATTTGGCTCAGGCATCAATGATATTCAACATGTGTAACTTAAACAAACTTAAAAAATTTCATCTTTGAATTTTGAATTTTTTTTTTATTGTTTGATTAATAATAAAAGCACACACACCCCGCGTGAACTGATGCCTTAAAAAATGGAACAAAACAATCTTTAAGGAGTCTGTATTTACATAAATAAAATGTTTGTCCAGGTTGGTAAAATACCAGAGTCTAAAGGCTGTACACTAGACACCTTCAGAGGGAGGTCTTCAATAAGACGCAAGCGCTTTGATAAAACATCAAATGCCCCCAGCAAACTTCCAGAGAACGATACAGGATCTGTAGGTTAATCATTTCAAAAGCATTGCAGCTATTAATAAGGTAAGCATAAGTGTGTGTGTGTGTGTGTGTGGGGGGGGGGGGGGAGAGAGAGAGAATTCACAAAAATGTTACCTCCAGCACCATGAATCAAAGAGAAATCAAGTTGATCCACAACAACTACAATATTTTCCTTTGATAGAGAAAGATGCTGACTTAGAACATGCTCAGCTATTCTTTTTAAAACAAGATGCCTTGCCCATTGCTCACTTTCCCACACTGAGAATTATTTTGAAAGAAAAAAGCATAACCATGTTAGTCATCAAGATACTTTATCTCAGCCAACAAGACAAGAAATCTATGATAGTCATACTTGATCAACTATTTGAATGGTAACAGTAAATGTCTCACCTGTGCTTTCTGCGATTCTACCATCTTTAAATCTTCTAAGCTCTGCTTTTTCTCCCCAAAACTTTCGAAATTCAAGAGCCTGCTTCAAATCATGAGTGAGTGCTGCATTGCATGCACAGCAACACAAATTCGAAAACAAATTAAAAAGGGAGTGGACATGAGCAGAAGAATATACCTCTTCTTTACTTTCAGCATTTGGACCAATATCAACTATCCTAAATGCTTTCTCCAAAGTACTCACTGAAATTCCAACGAACAAGGGCTCTTTATCCAGTACCGATAAGCCCTGGAGATGTGAATTCAATCAGAAACAGGACAGAAGATCCAAAACATGAAGCACATTTTAAATGATATTGAAAATTCATGCTTGAAACCATCATACATCATCCACGCTCCACGGGCATTGTGTGTTTCTCCATGCAACTTGAATCAATTTTGCTCTGTCATCCAACCCTTTAGCTAAAATACCATGTATTTTTTCCTCATACGATCTCCAGCACTCGTTGTCCAAACAAAATCCCGATGCATATACCTCTTTCTTTCCCTTCAAATTTACTCTATAAAAGTAAACATGTATAAGATAAACTTGCAGCTTTGATAACTTGAAGCAAGTCATCATGAAAACAATTCACATAACAGAACAGCCCATCATGAAATACAGTATCTATCATCCAGGAAAAAGAAAGGCAAAGGGGGAAAAAAAAGTAAACAAGTCTCCTACATGTAATCATGTAGCACAAACAAGAAAATGCATCATAATAAGTCCCACGAGCCTGTTTATTTATATCATTTTAATTATTATGCTTTCAATATCTGTGTTATTACCCACATGTTAGATTTTTTAGACCCCTTCCTGTCTGTTAAAATATCCCTCAATGTAATGAGCAGAAATTTTAAGTCACAAAACCTGATACCTAGAAGATCCTTATATTTGGTTTGAGTTACCAGCATATCTCACCAACCTTTTATATATTATCTTCAAAATTCTTCCCAAGTAACTAATTTGTTCGAGAAATATAATATAAAACCAATAATGTGGCCTTCACCTAGTAGCTTAAACTTTTAGGTTGAAATAGTTCTTTACATGGTATTAAAGCCCACTAGTTTAATTCTTATTGCCTCTCATTCTATTAATAAATAATTGAACATTGTGGAGTTTCTTAGCACAGAGTGATGGGCCTATGCATTGTCTACACTTTAAGCCCGATGGACTCTTGTCTGAAGGAACATGTTAAGAAATATAATATAAAACCATTAATGTGGCCTTCACCTAAGGTTGAAATGGTTCTTTACATTATCCTCCCACTTTAAAACCCCATCAAACCTCAATCCAAATCTCTAGCCTATCCAACTTCCTCTTATTAATCCCTCTGGAGATGCTGCTCAGTTCCCCTTGATTAAATTTTAGTTTGTCCACCAGAAACTCGACAGGAGAGTTGTGGTGCACAATTACTTGCAAAAAATTTATATTCCAGCTGCCTTACCAAAAAGTTGATATAGAAGGGACAAAAAAAAAATCAATATCATAAATACATAGAACGATACAAATGATAATCACCCATCAGAATGATATAAAAAGAAGGAAATGATACCCAAGTGATCTATCCACAACACAGACCAAAATTTGTGAAATTAGACATCCTAGTCTCTAAAAGAAAACCTGTCGGTAGGCTGGGACAGTATTACTCAGATTTCATAAGACATGTAATAATACCAGCTTTTGAAGAGCTACTTAAAATCTAAATACGACACCTAATGTTAACTTCATTTTTCTTCATCTTTATATTCAATTTATGTCCGAGTTTTGCTTGCAGCTGGCTCCAACATGTTACACTAGTCTGATTATACCTAAAGAGTGGAATATGTGTATATGAGAGTATAAGCAATAAAGTAAAGCATGCTGAAAATTTCAAGTTTGAATCTGGAGGGAAGCAATCCTATATTACTATGAAGAGGCAAAGCTCTCAAACAGACTATCAATGACAAACAGACATTAACTGAAACAACATTACCTCATACAATAGTCATATTTAACAGCATAGTCAATCTTAGTCATAAATACTTCCTCAAATCCACCATCTCTACACTTTTCCAGGCACTTAAGTGTCAAAGCAGCCTCATCTTGAAGCTGAATATAGAAGGAAGAAGAGCCAAAAAAATAAACAAATAAAAATGTGTACTGTGACATTTATAATATTAAAAAGGAAAAGAAAAACCCAAGTTGGTGTGCTGGCCTAGAGTACCTGAGTAATACCAATCCTAGACATTCGGAAAGCCAAATTGAATCCTCCAGATGGATTGCATATGACAACTGGAAATGACTCTTTAAGTTGCATCCTTTCCTGCAAAAGGGAATCATGAACACTACATATTGCATGAGAAACAACTTTCCAGCAAACATTGTAATGAACACAGCATATCATGCGAGAAACATTGGAAATATGTTACAGAGACAACAAAGAAGAACTCAAATAAAATGGAAGCTTATAAAGAGAGTTCTTAATAAAGGGTGCATATAAAAATTTCTATCAATTCAAGGTTAAACTCCAGTGTGGAAGGGATTGAAAATAAAATGAAGCTACTTGATATGAAGGATCATAAGCTTTATATTGCATTAACAGCATATGATACATTTCAAAGTTTACACGAATCAAATCAACGGGAAAATAATAATAATAATAAATGAAACATGAATGCATATGTTATGAAAAAAATGTACTAAAAGCAGACAAAAAAAACTTAAAGGAAGTAAAATATCAGTAGAGATCTGGATATCAAAATAAATAATAAATGGAACATGAATGCAAATGATTCACAAAATTTAATTACACAATTAGACAATTAAAAATGAACAAATAAATATAAAGATCTGAACCTCTTTTGTAATATTGCTCTTGCCTTCTTTTGGAAAGTAAAGCCCTCGGCTCCATGACTCTGAAGTGGCTGAAAAACCAATAGCAATAATAAATATCTTCTTTTCTAAGAACACATATCAAAGCCTCAAGCCCAATTCCCAGTCTATACTAATTTTTAAGTCAGCAGCAAATTGCCTACAAATTCACTACACATAACAGCAAAGATCTGTTTTAGAAATTCTTTTGGATGGAACAGAAAAGATGTTGATTTTTTTATTTTATTTTTTTTGTACATTTTTGTTGATTTTAATTACATAACTAGTACAACGAATATACTAGTGAAGAGAAACAATAATAATACACTGAGAATATAAAAAATCTGGCAAACACTGTACTATCCATCAAAATTAATCAAGTACAGGGGGAGAGCTAAAAAATAGCATTTTTATCAAAAAAAATGGATGTGTGTCATATGCACAACATATTACACCAGAATTAATACTGTGTGAGTATATATATGTTGACAGCCATAATTCTCCAATATGAACAGCTTCTCTTCCAATAACAGACCAGTTGCAATACACTAACAAAACAAAGAGAGCTAAACAAAATGAGCTGATCTGCAAAGGAGAGCCTATACACATACCAATGAAGTTCAAGGTAACCCGAATTATTTCAATTGCCTTCATTGAATTGTTAACTTGTTGCTTAGAAGCAAGATATGCCAGTATGACGGAAATCAAAAACCCATTCAGGCAATCATGGACGTATATCGAACATCTCTGTCGAGCCCAAACCTAAATCATTGAAGACAAGCACTAAATTAAGTCTGTTAACTTGTACATTTTCATTTATTGCATGTAGTACCCAAAAAAAAAATTTCAAATATCAAACCTTAAGCAGGATTAAAGCCTCTCTTAGTTCCTTCCAACCCAGAAAAAATTTATTGATGAATTCTGTATCCTCTATAAACATGTCTTCCAGAATACTAGAATTGTACTTTGGCGTAGCCAGCAGAGCAGTCCCTTTACAATATTAACAATCAGTCATCAATATATTGTATCAAAAGTAGAAGCAACTTTCTCAAAGAAACATAATATAGGTGTTGAAGGCACAAACCATGATTCAAATTATGAATGTTGTTACGCTTCAGGCTCAACTTTGATATGCTAAATAGAGACATAGCTGAAGGAATAATTCTTACAAAAACACCGGGAACTTCAACAAGCTTTGCAGCTGCAATTACTTTCTCTGTTAGTCACGCCAATATTGTTCTGAAGTAAAATGCATTAAAATTTAAGTGCTAAGCTAACACTGAGTACAAACCTGGATACACAATCAGCAAGGGTTTTCGGGCTTCATTCTGTAAGGTAGACCATTCAACCCTGCCAATAGATGGAGAGGACTCCAAGTACTTTTTCATCAAGCATAGATAAAGGCACCTCTTGGCATGGTATCTATAATTCAAATAATCCTTCTCATGGAAGCACTCCTAACAAAACAGGGAAACAGTTTTTTATACACTTGACATTGATAGATTAAATTAAACATTAATTAATATATATATTATAAGCTTGGTTATCCTTCTCACCTTTGGTAACCTGATAATAAGATCTACATTTACTTCAGGCCTCGCAAGGCTCTGTATAGAGTAGCTTCCCCCAATCTTAATAAACGCTGGCTTCTTAAACTTGAACTCTACTTTATCAGCACCAATGTCCCTAACAAAGTTTGATGCTATATCAGCAGTTACCTGCATATTCACGAGCATTGAGCAAAAGCTCCAAGAATCGAAGAAGATAGATTGAAAGGTAGAAGAATGAATGACCTTAAAGTCATTGGGGATTTTATCGATGGATGCTTTAATGGCTGAGACGGTGTCATCCACGATCTTGGAGAACTCTGGTGAGTAGTCCACTTGGACCTCCTTCAACAACTCCCTCACCTTCAACTCCGTTGAGTCCATGAAAGTAGTTTTGCCCTCCATCGTTTTTCGCTGTGCCGGAGAAGGAATGAACAACGGCTTTTTGGGTTTAGGGTTTATGGCGGGACGAAGGCGTGGCGAGTGACTTATAACAGAACTTGACCATACGAGATTTTAAACTAAATAACCATAGACTCCTAACCTAGCGCTGTCAAAGCCGTCCCATTTGGGCCTAGCTCGCCCTGGGGTTAAAAATCCCCCAGGATCAAATCAACTTCAATAATCAAAGTTTACACCGGTCAAAAGTGTTATCTGCTTGATTCATCCAAAATTATAATTTCATAAATTTTTATATCATAATTAATATATTAAAAAATATTTTAACAAATAAATTTTTAACACTTTCTTAAAATATTTTATACAAATTATAAATTTTTTATAATTTAATTTTTTAATAAAATAAGATTTGTACATAAATATACATATGAAAATGTAAACAAAATTTTAATAGAAGTACAAATTTAGTTAGTACTTTTACTTAATTCATTATTAAATGATGTCATCATATAAAGATTTTTTTACCGGAAGTCATAATAGAATACAACAATTATAGTGGAAAACTAAAAGTAATGATAAGAAAATTATTTTAATACCAGTATCGAATAACTGCTCTTAGTATGTTATATATTTGAAAGTAAAATAATTGATTTTCTTTAATTACTACCGTTACAAAAAAAATTAGTTATTATTATCCACAAAATTACTAAAGTGCATTGTATACGATATATTTCAATACAAATTTGGATGTATAACATGCTTAGATGTCAATAAAAAAATTTATTTTTATTGATGCGCAGATAAAAAACTCTGTTAAAACATATCACTACTGAAAAAATCATTTTTTTTTTGTAAAATATTATGGATGAACTTTCACATGGTTCATAACACTTGACTCTATATTTTTCACGACCTTTGATATATTCTATAATCATCACACTAATGGTGTGTTGAATTGTAGAATACATCGAAAGATGTATTGTAAAATATTATGTATAACCTTTCACATGAATTATAGATGACATTTCACATGAATTATGGATGACCTTGCACATGAATTATGGATGACATTTCACATGGTTCATAACATGTGACTCTTTGTTTTTTCATGACTTCCATGTTTAAAAATGCATCTAAGATAGGTCCTTATATATGACTCTTTGCTCATACCTATTCTTATTTTATTCTTTCTTTTATTTATTTTTACACTTTATTTTCTTTTCTTTCATATTTTATTTTCTCTCATATTTTCCATCAAATTCATAATAATTTTTACTTATATTTATAAATATTTAAATTTATATAATTTTTAGTTTTTTAAATAATGCAAATTTTGATGAAAGAAAAAGTTAGGCTCGCGAGTCAACCCTAACCCAGCCCATTAAATTATAGGGCTTTGGAGATTAGGGCTAAAAAAGGCCCTACCAATAAAAAACTCTAATGGGTTAGTACCAAATATAATATTTTGTGGGCTAGCTCGTAGGCTTTAACCCATTTTGACACCACTGTCCTAACCTATATAAATACAAACTCTTATTGGGCCCAAGCCCAGTTAATGTTAATGCTAAGTACCCTAATTTTTAATGGGTCATAGCAAAATGAAAAGGCCATAACGATAAGTTTCGACACAACATAGGCTATGGATTTGGGCTGCATAGCTGATGACCTACAATTTAATTGGAACGTTGGAAGAAAAAAACAATTCTAAGATATATTGCCATATACAGTACTAGTGTATTACCCATGTATTGCACAGAGAGAAAAAATCAGTTTGTTTATCTCGTAAAAATTAACATTGTTATCAAAAAAAAAAAAAATTAAAGCAACACATAAAAGTATATTGTTGCATTTTACCTTGTCATGTGGTCATTCAAAAATTACAAAGTTTGACTCAAGTTCTTTCAGTATTTCCCAGAGACGAACTTTCATTTAGAAAGATCAAATTTACAAAATAATAATACATAAATATTTTTTTGCAAAGATTTGTGTCGTTAATATTTGGAATTTTTCAAATTCGTAATTACAAAAATTAAAATCAGAATTAGGAATTTAATTATAAAAGAAGAAGGGCGAAAATTTAATTTAATTATAAAAAAATATTGGCGGCCTGGTACTCCGGACCGAGTCCAATTTGCAACGTCTAATTGTCAGCATTATATACCAGCATGTAATACGTTTTTATATTAATTCACATAAAAAAATTGTATTGTTGCATCTAAGTTTTTATATTTTATCTTAAAGATGGACATTCATTTATTACAATCATATTTATAAAATAATAATAAATAATTATTTTTTTGCAAGGATTTGTGTCGTTAGCATTTAAATTTTTTACAAATTTATATTTACAAAAATTAAAATCAGATTTAGGAATTTAATTATAAAGAAGAAGTATGAAATTTTAATTTAATTATAAAAATGTGTTGGTGGGCCGGCCCTCTGGGCCGAGGCCTAGTTTGCCACATGTAACTATCAGCATGTGATAGATTTTTATATTTATCCACAAAAAAAGGTTCTTATAGTCGCATTTAGGTTTTTATATTTTATCTCAAATATGAAATTTCATATATTACAATCACATTTAAAAAATAATAATAAATAATTATTTTTTGCAAGAATTTATGTCGTTAGTATTTGGAATTTTACAAATTTGTATTTAAAAGATTAAAATCAGATTTATGAATTTAATTATAAAAGAAAAAGAATAATATTTTAATTTAATTATAAGAATATGTTAGTGGGCCGGCACTCGGGCCGTGCCCAGTTTGCCACCTCTAACTATCAGCATGTAATACATTTTTATATTTATCCACACAAAAAGGCTCTTATAGTTGCGTATAGGTTTTTATATTTTATCTCAGAGATTAACTTTCATTTATTACAATTATATTAATAAAATAATATGAAATAATTATTTTTTTGCAAGGATTTGTGTAGTTAGTATTTAAAATTTTACAAATTTGTATTTACAAATGTTGAAATCAGATTTAGGAATTTAATTATACAAGAAGAATAGTGAAATTTTAATTTAATTATAAAAATTTGTTGGCATGCGGGGTGGGCAAGCCCTTTGGTCAAACTCAGTTTGCAACCTTTAACTATCAATATTTTATGTAAATAATAATTTTTTTGCAAAGATTGGTGTCCTTAGTATTTTTAATTTTACAAATTTATATTTACAAAGATTGAAATCAGATTTAAAAATTTAATTATAAAATAATAATGATGAAATTTTAATTTAATTATAAAAATAAATTGGTGGGCGGGCCCTCCGGGCCGAGAACAATTTGTCACCTCTAACTGTCAGCATTTTATATCAGCATGTAATATGTTTTTATTTTTATCAATACAAAATTGTTCTTATAATTGCATCTAGATTACTATATATCTATATTTTTTACAGTTGTCTTTAAATTTATTCTTTGTGGTCTGTGTGTTGGTAGGCCGGCCCTCTAGGCCGAGACCCAATTTGCCAGATCTAACTATCAGCGTGTAATGGATTTTATATTTATCCACACACAAAAGTTCTTATAGTCATATTTAGGTTTTTATATTTTATCTCAAATATGAACTTTCATTTATTAAAATCACATTTAAAAATAATAATAAATAATTATTTTTGCAAGTATTTGTGTCATTAGTATTTGGAATTTTACAAATTTGTATTTACAAAAATTTATGAATTTAATTATAGAAAAAGGATAAAATTATAATTTAATTATAAAAATATGTTGGTGGGCCAGCCCTCCGAGCCGAGCCTAGTTTACCACCTCTAAGTATCAGCATGTAATAGATTTTTATATTTATCCACAAAAAAGGCTCTTATAGTTGCGTCTAGGTTTTTATATTTTATCTCAGAGATTAACTTTCATTTATTACAATTAGATTTACAAAATAATAAGAAATAATTATTTTTTGCAAGGATTGATGTCGTTAGTATTTAAAATTTCACAAATTTTTATTTACAAAAATTGAAATCGGATTTAGTAATTTAATTATAAAAGAAGAACATTGGAATTTTAATTTAATTATAAAAACTTGTTGGCAGGCGGGGCGGGCAGGCCCTCGGGCCAAGCCCTGTTTGCAACCTTTAACTATCGACATTTTATGTAAATAACTATTTTTTTGCAAGGATTTGTGGCCTATGTATTTTTGAATTTTACAAATTTATATTTACTAAAATTGAAATCAGATTTACGAATTTAATTATAAAAGAATAATGGTGAAATTTAATTTAATTATAAAAATAAGTTGGTGGGCTGACCCTCCGGGCCTGACCCAATTTGTCACTTCTAATTGTCAGCATTTTATATCAGCATGTAATATGTTTTTATAATTATCACCACAAAATTTTTCTTATAGTTGCATTATATATCTATATTTTTGACAGTTGCATTTAAATCAACTCTTTATGGTCTGTGTATTTGTGACATATATAAGAGATAAAGAGTTGAAAAATACTTGAGTTCGTAAATTTTATACTCTATCAAACACTTTATAGTTTAATAGGGTAATATCAAAAGACTATTCGTTTGTTTAATATATAATTTTATATTAAATTCAAATTTATTATATATGTCTGTTTTCCACTGCAGAAATATTAAATGCTGAACTCTTTTCCCAACTATCAAGTTCAAAATTCAAATTTAAAAAGTTTAAATTTTAAATATTAATTATTTTCTCACCCAATATATATAATAATAAATTTTATTAGTAGACTTAATAATTTTTCATACAAAAAAGTAGTGAAAAACATCTATAGAAAGTTGTGCACTTTTTCCATATAATAGCTTTTAGTTATTCATTCACGACATAGAAAATTGTGTCAATTATACTCTTGCAATAAAAAATAAAAGTTTAATTTCTTTCTTATATACTAAATTAAATTTTTCATTTTTATAGTTATTAAATGTCGATAATTTTTTTTTTTACAAAATGATAGAGGTCGTTTTATTTTTTATTTAAAATTTAAATTTAAATTCTTTTGTATTAATTTATGATTTTCATATGTTTTTTTCAATTGGCTATACATATATATTCAAAAAATTTATGGTAAATATTTTTAAAAAAAATTATTTGTACGGAATTTTTTTCTCTTTTTGTATTACTTTTTTAAGTTTAAATTATAATAAATATTCTTTTAAGGTATAAATTTTTCATTTTTTATTTTTTTATTTAAATTTAAAATTTAAATTATTTTTTTTATCAAATATACATATATTTTATAATTTTAATTATTTTTTGTTTAATCTATGATTTTATATTTAATTCAAATTTCTTATATAGATATCTTTTTCCCATTACAAAAATATTAAATACTGAACTTTTTTTTCACTTTTTAAGTTCAAAATTCAAAATTCAAAATTTCAATATTCAATATTTTTCCAACCAATAGACATAATATTTAATATTATTAAAAAGCTTAATAATTTTCCATATAGAAAGTAGTGAGAAACATGGATAGAAGGATGTGCATATTCTCCAAGTAATAGTTTATGGGTTCGCTTTTTCTGTAGTTACTGCAGATAACTTATCTGCAGTAAGCCCAATACGACGTTGTTTTAGGGCGGAAATCATGGTATTTTTGTAATTTAAATTTATTTCAGGGTTATAATAGAATTTATATTTATAATTTTTTAAGATTTCAATATCAAAACTACGTCGTTTCGGTAATAAATGCAGATAACTTATCTGCATTAACTGCAGAAATCTTTTTTTCATAGTCTATACTTTCTAGTTTTTATTTATGACATATGAAATTGTGTTATTTATACTCTTACATAAAAAGAATAAAACTTTAATTTGTTAGTTATATATTAAATTAGAACCTTTTTTGTAATAATTAAATTTTATTATTTAAATGTCATTTTTTAATTTTTTCTTTAAATTTAAAATTTATATTCATATATTTTCGTTGTTTGTATTTTTTTATATTTGTAACAAAAATATAATGAATAAATATGAGTTGATACCAAAAAGTATTCTACAAAATCGAATATTTGGTGAATTCAATTGAACTGCATTTAATATAATTATTTAAATAAAAACATAACTAAAAAAAATATATATATATCTTATATTCTAAGACAAACCTATTATTTGGCAAGTCCGCTGACGTGTCACTTCCTCCAATTTCAGCTTTGCGTTCACACTACAAAAATTTAAAAACTTTCCTTCTTTGGTAAATTAGTGAATAAAACAAATATAAAAGAAAATCTAATTTTGAATGAAAATCGATGACAAGATTTCATAACTCAAATCAATGGTACAGATTTGTTATAAATTGTAGTGGCAGACAGCTCATTTGAATTTGAATTTTGGAGTTTAAAATTTAAATTTGATTTTTGAAATCTGACAACCTATTTAATGTTGAACTACTTTCTCCATTGGAATTGCTAAATATTTAAAAAAATACATCTGCTTCTCATTGTTCTATGCAATTGCTTATGGGCAATTTTGTTGCTCCTCTTCATTTTTCCTTTTTTTTGCCTTTGACGCATATCAGTTAAAACATACAGCCTCAAGGAATTAGCTTCTTCGTTCTCTCTTTGGAGTTGGATTCAATAGCGATGCGTTCAGGCCAACCAAGCATCAGTATCATTTGTCTTTCAATTTGAGGACTGATCTTAGATCAATTGTTGATTCTAATATTTTTGCGAGTGAATTTGATTTTGTTGATTATGACATCATTGAGAAAGAAACATCTGACTCTCATTATTTAGTGGGTAATATATTTTTCCTGACTGTTTTTCATTTTTTAAGGGGGTGTATTGGATTAGGATTTTAAAAGACTTTTTTGAGATAAAAAATCCTACATATTTTAAAAGATATTTTAGAATTGGAGAGACTTTATAGACTTTTTTAAAAAACTTTTTTTACAATCAAGATTTCAGAGCATTTGACTTTAAAGGATTTTAATAGAATTCATAAGATTTGAAAGGAAAATATGGATTTATAAGATTTTAAAAAATTATATGAATTTTTAGCAAATATTCAAAATTACAAGAGTCAATAAAAACATATAACAAAGAAATACAATGCTATTAATAAAAAAAGTAAACTTAACAACGGGTTGAAAATTATCTCAAAAATTACTAAGCAATAACTCTTCACATATCAATAAAATCTAATATAATTTTCTCAATAAGTTTGAGTTTGAATTTGAGTTTGATTTGCGAAAATAATAACCATATATCAACGGTTAACTTCAAAGTTAAATATTAATTAATGAGTTTGATTTGTGAAAATAATAACTATTGATTGACGGAAATCAACGGTTAAAATATGGTTATAATCAAAAATAGGTTGTAAGTATAATATTCTCCATAAAAAAATAACAAATAAATGCAATGAAATTAATAAAAAAAAGTAAAACCTAATATAATTTTCTCAATCAGTAAAACATAATATAATTTTTGACAAACATTCAAAATTACTAGACAACAGCTTTTCACATATCTAATGGGTTGAAAATTGTCTTCTTCATTTGGTATAAAAGTTATGCATATATGATTATAAGACCCAATTTTTTTAATTATAAAAATAATTCTAAATTTGCATATAGAACCTAAAGTTCATGATAAAATTTCGTTTGAACTTTTTTGAAATTGAACTTGAAAACCTTGGGGTTTTGTTTTTACGTGATAAGAGTTTCCTAACCATATATCATATGCATATTTTCATTGAATATTCTAAGAAAATTTTGAATCTGAAATTTTGGGTTTAATTACATGAAAGTTTAGAAAATTTCTCAAATTTTTTTCAGTCGATACATTGAAACCTTAAATTGCTTTGGCGCTTTTGAGAAATGAGTTTTTAGTTATCTATTGACACAAAAATTGTTTGAAATCATTTCCTATAGTGAAGGAATTTTGTTCATGAATGTATTGTTACGAAATATAGGGTTCATATAATGAAAGTTTCAATCTTTCTTTAAATTGATATTGCTTCATTGATGTAAAACGAAAATTGGTTTGAGGGTTTTAATTTTTCTGTTATTTTTTCACTATTTTATGTTGTTTTTAATACAAAAATCACACGTTTTTGTGCCAAGAAAAACCACGACCCATAGCTTGAAAAATCACTTTTTAAACTTCCAAAATTTCTCAAAAATAGCTCAAAAATATGTTATTTTTGAGATAGATTATATTAAAATCTTGTTGGTTTGTTGTTTCTGGATTGTTTTATGAAGAAAATCGCTCAAAAATATGTTTTTTTTTTTTAGTTTTGACGAACATCCCATGGCGGAACACAATTTCGAGCAGTCAACCTGCCAAAGGAAGAAGAAAACACTGCAACAGAAAAATCTCAAGAAATCCTAAGGGTTGGGGTGATATTGTGAGAGAGACATCCTATTTATATTTTTCACTAAAAAGTCTCACGAAATCCACACTAATAGAAAATCCATTAAAATCGTTAGATTTTTGAATACGACGAGATTGTGATTCCATTGTTTAAAATCCTGATTGAATACCAACGGATTTGGACAGATTTTAAAATAATCCTTTAAAATCCTAATCGAATATCACATGACTTTTTTTTCAATCCATTAAAATCTTAATCGAATATCAACGAATTTTTTTATCGAAAAACAATTCATTAAGATCCTTTGAAATCCCAATCCAATACACCCCCCTTAATTTTTGCATTTTTTTTACAAACTCTTGTATGCTCTTTTTTTTTTTTAGACGTCATTGGTTTAATCTCAAGAATTGGTGAAGTTTGTGAACGTGTGGTATCTGGTAGGAAGACGAAATGGTTGTGTTGGAGCTTGACAACCTAAGGTATTTAAAATTGTAGATTTAAAGAAATTATTTTTTTCGAGCTCTGTTAGCTTATATTTTTCGTGTATTACTTTTTTCCTGCAACTTATATGAAGGGGTCACAAGCTGGAGTGCACTTTGTGGGAGCATTATGTGGATGAGGTCCAATCTTTTACGGCAACTAGCGACACTCCTCATAACGTCATGATAGTCCAGCTAGGCAGGATAAAATGTTTTAGGGGTATGATTTTAACAATCTTTTTTGACAACACGTTATGCTTCTGTGTTCTGTTTAATTAACATTTTTTTTGGCTTTTCAGTTTTTATTTGATATACTCAACTCGATAGGTAAGGTTGGGTTAACAAATACAAAATATACAACGAGGATTGTCATGGATACGAAGATGCCAGAGATCGTTGAGTTCAAAAAACGGTGTGTTTGTTATTCTTGAACTTATTTGACAATTTATTCGATTAATCATTTACGGTGTATGAATTTTCTCTTTATAGTATTTCGGGTGATGGTGTGGAAAGTAGTCTGAGGATGACTCAGTTGTTTACTCAGTCATCCTATTCTTACGAAAGTGATTTTTTGAAGGAGACTGAAAAGAAGTCTATCAGTGATGTGAAGCTTTGTGGCGAGGTAAATATCGATTTTTTGTTTTTTCGCTTTTCTTGAATAATATTAAGTCTGTATGAATGATGTGAATTGTTGGCCTGTGATCGCTATATTTAAGGTTACGACTTGCATCACGTATGAGACTATAAAATCTATTGAGAGCAAATACAACTGGTGGTACAAGTCTTGCAAAAAATTTCCATTTTCTGTTTGTGAGGATTTTGAGAAATGGTACTGTAAGAACTGCCAAAAACATTGGGAATATTACTATCCGAGGTAATATATTGTTCTTGGTTTTTAAATTGTCTTTAATCTATAAGCTTAATATTTTTTTTCTGATATACAATTTTGCAAAACGATAGATTTAGTGTTCAGGTAAGAGTTGTGGATAACACGGATTCCGCATCATTTCTTCTGTTTGATCGCTACTGTGTGTCTTTGTTGGAGATGAGTGCTGGTGAATTGCGCGAGCTGCATTTCAAGAGGGTTTGTATTATCATTGCTATGAAATATTGAAAATGTATATTTTGACGTAGAGTGCACTATGTTCGCGCTATAGTTTTATATTTTTTTCCCTGTTTAATTGATCATCCTTTTTTTTCTGTAGGGTGAGGATTTGGATCAATTTCCAGAAGAGTTAAATGTTCTGAACGAAAAGTCGATGTTGTTCAAGCTAAATATCAAGCAAAAGCATTTTTCAAGAGCAATAGTGAAGTCACGTTTTTTTGTTGGAGTTACATCTTGAAATGTTGAAATCATTTTTTTTTAACTGACATTTATTAAATATTCAAATCGTTTTGTGATGTTTTGCTATGTTGAGTTCAGTTAATGATAATGTTATGATATTTATTGAATATTCAAATCGTTTTGTGATGTTTTGCTATGTTGAGTTCAGCCAATGATAATGTTATGTGATGTATATTGATAAACAATGTTTTTTGCAATGGAATCCTAATCTGTTGATTTATGTCATGTTATGTGATGAGTTGTTGTGTTGAATTCCAAAAATTTCTTTTCTTTTTTTTCAAAAAATCACATTTATAACTACTAAAAACATCCCAACCTATGATTTGGATGTATACAAAGAATGAATTTGATTAAAACATTTGGTCCTTACTTTTAAAATTTAAAATATGAATTTTTATTGACCATGATTCAGTGGAATTCAAAAAATTTGGTTGTTATTAAAACAAAATGTTAAAGTGACGTTTTTTTGTTGGAGTTACATCTTGAAATGTTGAAATTATTTTTTTTAACTGACAATTATTAAATGTTCAAATCATTTTTATTAACCAACAAAATAATAATTTTCATTGAATTTTTTTCTTATTTTTAAAATTTAAAGTTTGAATTTTTATTAACCTTGATTCAGTGGAATTTAAAAAAAATTTGGATTTTCGAAATACAAATCAATGGAAAATTAAGTTAACCATGTTGTGGTGACAGACAACTCATTCAATGTCCCACTGATTTGTGCACTGGAATTACTCAGCTCTTTTAAATGATTTATACGTTGGAATTACTCAGATCTTTTAAAATTCGAATTTTGAATTGATTTCAAATTTAGGATTCCAATTTGGAATTTTAAATTGTAATGGTGGGAAAAGATTTGGAAAGTTTTTTGTAGCACACAGCTCATTTAATCTCTGACTGCTTTTCTTTTGTTGCTTGCGTCTATAAAAAGAAACATCTTTTTTCTATGATGTTATATCTGTCTATTTTTTCATGTGTAATTGTTAGCCATATTAATGTTGCATAATTTTTTTTTTTTTTTTGTAAAATAACAAAATTATTTATATTGTAAAATAAATTCGAAATTTGGAAATAAATTAAATGGAAAATTATGTGAATAATTTTTTGTGGCTGACAACTCATTTAATGTCCCATTGCATTCTACATTGGAATTTCCAAATTAATAATAACTCAACTCTACTAAATTTCGAATTTATGTTTAAATTTGAATTTTGAATTTGAATTTTTAACTTTGTAATGGTGGGAAAAATTTTGGAATTTTTTTTGTGGCAGACCACTCATTTAATTTCCCACTACTTTTTTGTTGTTATATATTATTAGTAAAAAATACCTGTACTTTTCTTTAGTTGTATATCCCACTATTTTTTCATGGGTAATTGTTAGCCCTATTTTTTTTTGGAGTTACCCAACCCTAATTATCTCTTTGAGACGAGTTGGCTCCCTCTGGTATCCCCACGAGCTTCGACTCTTTGAGCCGGCTATGAGAATAATCCGGAGTGCGAGGGAACAGTGATGGCTAAAGGTTCAGCCCCCTCCCCAAGAATGCATTCAGCGGGAATCGAACACATATCCAACCCCACTAACTCAGCGCCAAGTTACCAACTGAGATGCACCCATTGGGTTAATTGTTAGCCCTATTAATGCTACATAAAAAACAAAAAAATTAAAAAAAATGTAAAATAGAAAAATTATTTATATTGTAAAATAAATTCGAAATTTTAAAATAAATAAAATAAAAAATTACGTGAACAATTTTTGGTGGCATACAACTGATTCAATGTCCCACTGCATTCTACATTGATATTTCCAAATTAATAATAACTCAACTCTTCTAAATTTTGAATTTATGTTTAAATTTGATTTTTGAATTTGATTTTTTAACTTTGTAATGGTGGGAAAACTTTTGAAAAATATTTGGTGGCAGACAGCTCATTTAATGTCCCACTACTTTTCTTTTGTTGTATATTATGAGTAAAAAATACCTCTACTTTTCTTTAGTTGTATATCCCACTATTTTCTGCATGGATAATTATTAGCCCTATTAATGCTGCATAAAAAAACAAAAACATTATAAAAATATAGTAAAATAACAAAATTATTTATACTGTAAAATAAATTCAAAATTTGAAAATAAATTAAATGAAAAATTATGTGAACTTGATATGTGGAAAAAGAGTTCAGTATTTAATATTTATGCAGTGGGAAAAGATATATATATAACAAATTTGAATTTATAGATTAAACAATAAAATATTTAAAATTATAAAAATACATTTATAGTCGATAAAATTATTTAAAATTTAAAAGAAAAAATAAGAAATGGCATAATTTATACTTTACAAAAAATAAATTAAAATTTTAACAAAGAAATTATAAATATACATGTATAACCAATTAAAAAATATACATGTATTTTTTTAAAAATATTTAACATAAAAATTTTAAATATACATGTATAACCAATTAAAAATATATATAAAAATCATAAATTAAAATAGAAAAAAAATATATAAAAAAATGTATAATTAATATAAAAAATTTAAATTTTAAATTTAAATAAATAATGACGTCTATCATTTTGTAACAAAAAAATATTAATATTTAAGAATTATAAAAATGAAAATTTTAATTCAGTACATAAGAAAAAAATTAAACTTTCAATTTTTTTTATTGCAATAGAGTAATTAACACAAATACTTGCAAAAAATAATTATTTATATAAAATACTAACAGTTAGAGGTGAAAAAATGGGCTCGGCCTGGAGGGCCGGCCCGCCAATATATTTTTATAATTCAATTAAAATTTTATCCTTCTTCTTTTATAATTAAATTACTAAATCTGATTTCAATTTTTGTAAATATAAATTTGTGAAATTCCAAAGACTGACGACACTAATCCTTGAAAAAAATTATTTATATAAAATGCTGACAATTAGAGGTGGGAGCCCGCCAATATATTTTTATAATTCAATTGAAATTTTATCCTTCTTCTTTTATAATTAAATTACTAAATTTGATTTCAATTTTTGTAAATATAAATTTGTGAAATTTCAACGACTAACGACACTGAATGAATAGCGTTTTCATATTATAGGTAAAAGCTGATCTTTTAAATTCATATTTGGTGTTGTTGTTACCTTGATTTTGTTGATGAATGTTATAGTTAACAATAATTTGTATGCATTTTTCATTTTATATCTCTTCCTCATGTTAACATGGTGTATTATAACGTATTATGATGTAGTTGTATGCAAAATTAATTATCCCTCTGAATAATAAATTTTTGTTTGTGGTTGATTTTGCAAAGTTCTGTGTCAATGCTGTAATTTTTTTCACCTGAAATATAGAACAAAATAACAACACAATTTTTTGTAAGTATAAGGTTTGCAGTGCAATTAACCAATCACGACAGACGACAAAATTTTTGAATTTTTTCCCCGTGCATCGCACGGGTAATATACTAGTATATATATATTAGAAACACGGTCATTAGAAAAAACATAATTAGAATACTCTGTTTAATCAAATTTCAATTTTTGATAATTTCAATTTATGCTTATACTCTTTTCCCACATATCAAGTTCAAAATTCAAATTTAAAAAGTTTAAATTTTAATAATTAAATATTTCCCCCCCCCAATAGATATAATAAACAATATTATTAATAGGCTTAACAATTTTTCATGCAAAAAGTAATGAGAAACATCAAAATAGTCTGTAAAATACTTAATGGCAAACATATTTTTACGATGCAAGAGTTGGAAGGTCAGTGGTCACTGAATGGTCATTCATTATTATAGTGATTAAATTTTTATATTTTATTTTATACAGAATGATAGATGTCAATTTTTTTATTAATTATACATATTATTCAAAAAATTAATTTTTTTTATCTTTTAATTTATAATTTTTAGATTAGATATACATATATATATTTAAACTATTTATGTTAATTATTCTTTAAGAAAATAGTTGTACGAATTTTTTTCTCTTTTGGTATTAATTTTTTAAGTTAATTTATTTATTTATTTTCTTTTATATTATAAATGTGTCATTTCTTATTTGTTTTTTGCATTTAAATTTAATAATTATTTTATTTTTAACAACTATGCATATATTTTTATAATTTTAAATATTTTTTCTTTGATCTATAATTTAATATTATATTTATATGAGGTAGGATCCTTTGACACCAGTGTCAAATTTGAAATTTGACACCTCATCTGAAAGCCATTAGATCAAAAAAGATCAATGGTGTCACATGCTTACAAATCAGAGTCGTTGATCTTTTTTTATCTAACGGCTTTCAGATGAGGTGTCAAATTTCAAATTTGACACCGGTGTCAAATGATCCTACCTCTATTTATATATCTTTGCACTTCAGATACATTAAATGTTGAATAAATGCTAAAATTTAAATTTAAATTTAAAATTATTATTATATATAGGTGAAATTTCATTATTATAATATATGATCGTTTTTAATTGATCGAAAAATTTAGCCCAAATAACATAATAATAAAAATTATTAAACCTAACCATAAGAATATATTTTCCAATAAATATATAATAATATAGTTGTCTACCACTAAAAATTGTTGAACTCTTTTTCCACCTATATCGATTTAAAATTTGAATTTAAAAAAAGTAGCGGGATATAAATAAAAATATGTGTCACCAATTAATGTTGAACTCTTTTTCCATATATATCAAGTTTCAATTTCAAAATTTAAAAAAATTATGAGATATTAATCATAAAACAAATGATGAATTATTTTTTAAAAATGTTTATGTTAAATATTTTAAAAAAAATTACTTGTACGAAATTCTTTTATCTTTTTGTATTATGTTTTTGAATTGTTTTTTTTTTTTTAAATTCAGGAATATTCAATTTTTTTAAAAGGAGGTTGGTTTTAAGGCTAATTATGATAAATTTAATTAGAAGATAAAAAAGCTTCATATGCGTGTATTATATTTTGAAATTGAAGAGCCAT